GATTGTACGATTTTTGATTGCTTCATATTGCGTTAACGCAAAAAATGGTATATCGAGACGAGGTATATACCCTCTATCACTTTCCAGGTATACAGAATGACATAGTGGAGCAGTTACTTGACCTGATCTCGCGGATAATAAATATCTCATACAAAAATACAACTTAATTGTTTAATAGCAGAGTAACAAACTTTTCAAGTTGGTATTTCGGACTCTTCAAACCTCCAACTGACAATGAGAAGTTGAGCTCTAATATTTTTTATATTAGGGGGTACTTCAATTGTATGCTGATATCCTTGCTTTTAAGTCTCCAAGTCGCACCCGCTAATGAAATAAATATTCATGTTCAATCAGTTTCCAAATCAAGTCCAGGTTTCATTGCAATGCCCCATATCTCCTTTTCAATATCCCGTGGTGACACAATTACAGGTTAACAGGAAACTGAATGGCTCGCCTAGTGATTTTACTTGAAAAGTAAACAGGTTTTGTATTTTTGTCAAGATACTAATACACTAGACACAAATATTAAACTTGGTCAAAATTCTTCATTTCAGGGCAATAACTCATTTAAGGAGTTTTCTGATAATTTCGACATCTTTAGATGGTACATAGATCTTGAATATTTTATACCCGCTAGATCTTGAATATTTTATACCCGCTAGACACTTTGACCTATTATGGTTATTAATATCTTAGAAAATGACTTGAGCTTATGATTTTGGCAGTTTTTATGGACTTCCCCTTTTTCAATTTGCATTGGAGTTCGGTATCAATGTTATACTTTTTTACCCTAGTGTTCTATTCTTAGCAATTACTACCATGTTGGTTGATGAACAGCAATTGATATTAACAAAGAGTGACGCTTCATTTGAATTAGTTCACTAACTGCATATGAATATATCTTTAAAAAGATGGATACCAAGTGATAAACAAAAGCTCATACTGGCCTTTGTTTAATTGATTGATAGATTGATTGATTGGTAGATGGTTTATCTATGCCTCATCAGCGCAAAAGGCTTTATCGCGGTAAGACGAATCTTTTAGCCAAATAAGCGTAAATGAATGACTGTTAGAAGAGAATTTTCAAGAAAAAAAAATAAATGATTTTCCCTTTCTTCATTTGGTATCTTGTGCAGAAAACTTTGTACCCTCTATGTTATCACTATTAGCCGGGTCGATACATTTGATGATGGACTTTCCGTAAGGGTTTCACCAGCCCAGTAGCCAGCACTTCAATAATGACATAAAAATATAAATAATGTTTTAATGAAATTTTTTGTTTCAAAATTTAGGAAATTATTCTAAATTAAGGATTATATCTTTCTCATGCATAGCTCTATTCTTTGTCTGAATTTGGATACACTTTTGGTTCTTTTTTGTTTTCTTAGCTCTTCAATGTTTGTTATAGTTTTTTGAATTTCAATCATATTGGACTCAAGCATCACTGAAGAGATATTCAGTGTCGAAATGAGCATCGGGTGCAGTAAAACTGGTCATGTTTATGGTATTACTACCACTTTGACGATACCTCTGCATGTAATGTGGAATGTAAGTCCCAGAGGGTATTTCCAACCCAGAAGACAGTACTTTAGTACTAGAATGATATATGAATATTTTTTAAACTGATACAAATTTTTGGAAATTATTCAAAATTAAGAAATATATCTCCCTCGTGCATAGCTCAACGTTTGTTTTAGGTTTTGAGTTTTCAACATTTATAACTCGGGCATCAATCAAGAAACAATGATTGTCAAAATGAATATCTGGTGCATTAACATTGGTATCGTTTATGTTACTATAAATTGAACAGAATGAAATGTACGTAAAGGCTTGCTTTGTAGTTTTTGTTCTTTTCTGCAAAAAAAATATATCGCCCAATGCTTCACTATTCATCACTGTAACATATTGTTACATAAATAACAACACTATAAACTCAAATATTTGGCCGAAAACAAGGAATGATATCAGACTTTCGAAATGGGTTAGATTGGCAATCACATAAATGATGTGGCTCAAACATGGTCAAATCTGACCTGCGTACTTTTTACAGGGACCTGTGACCATTACAAATGTTCCAAGCAAAGAATCAGATCAGTTTAAAACTGTATAGTTTGGTTAAAAGTGTCCTGGTGACCCGAAGCATTTTTTAACGTGACTGTGTGACCTAAGTTAGTACCCTACTAGAGCCTAAGATGATTATAGTAGGGAATCTCATAGTATTTGTAAATGGTATTATTAAAACAAGGTAACCGATCATATGCTTACAACTTCACAAATTACCCACTTATTTGCACAGATGATGGAATTTAAATGCAAAATTTTCTACCACATTTTTATGCTATCTTTTGTCTGATTGTGTTCTATACTTTTGTCTTATTTATTGGTTATCATTTTAACAAACAGTTGACACTTATATGCCTCGTCTATATGTAATTTTGATAGTAAAATGCAAATGTTGATATTAAAAGGCAAACACTTTTTTAATCATGCAAATGATGCAAACATCCAAAGTCAATGAGCCATGACTCAAGGCTCAGGGCCATGTGATCTTCATGGAAATGAGATATGCTTAGACTAATACAACTACAAACTAAGTTTCCTTGATCACTGTTGTTGGTCTTCATCAAAATTAACTAATCACAAACTTTAACATGTAAATTAAGCAAAAGCTTCAAAGTCAAAAGACTGTGACTGAAGGGGCAGGATCCAACAATCGCCATGGAAAAAAGATGTGCCAACAGTACTTCAAATGTATACTAAATATCATTGACTTTCTATTAGTGGTTCCTGTTAAACTAACATAATCACAAACTTTAGCATATTGTTGACACAGCCATTTGAAACAACACACCTATGTCTCTTCATTTCTAAGACAAGACAACATGACAATAAACAAATACTTTTGAATTTATTTATTACAAAAAAAATATGCTAAAAATCTTTTAACAACACGTCTGAATTGGTTTAAAATAATGTTTAAATGGAAGGCTTGTACAACATTCCTATCAAAAAAATATATTCACAAAATACATATTATATCTGAAAATTTTAAATTAATCCATAAAATTAAGATTCACTGTCTCCAACAATGACAAATATGACATATATAAAACTGCTAGGGAACAAAAGTATTGTAGATTTCATGTCAAAGCTCAACATTATTGACAACACTCCACGTCACTTTCTAACACAAATTTTTGTTAAAAAGATAAATTAAGAAAACAAAATATTTCAATTTGAAAACAATATATCAAATTTTGTTTTAAATTTGAAATAATTCTTTAAAAACATGATGGGAAAAAATGTACGCTCTAGTCATACACTGTCATTCATAATTTATTCAATAATTATATGTATGAAACATGGTAAATTCTTCTTTATGCACAATTTTCTATAGAATACTTGGAATTCAAACTTATTTTTATCAATATCTGAATCATGCATTAATTGATTATAAGATTTGCAATTTGACTTAAGTAATTTGGAAAAAAGGCCACTACAAAATCAATTTACTTTTCACAATTCCACATAATTTTAAATGATGTTGTAACCTTTACCTTAAAAATAAATAGGGTTCATAGTCTTGCAATATTCAGGTATTCCACCAAAAGTTTAGCTGCAGAGCTCAGACATAAACAGTCTTTTTTTGTTTCTGACTTACATAAAGTCAAAGTATGTATTATTATAAAAATGTGTTTACAATCATGGACTTGTCTAAGTCAGAAAATAACAGACTTGTTAAGGTCAATTAATGGTTCATAAAACAGGATGATAACAATTTATTTGACTTTGTGGCCAAAATACATTCCCTATGACAATAAAAACTTTCTTAGAATTAACAAGGATCTGAACTATCTATAAGAAATAATAGTAGCTTTGCTCACACATTGTTGTCAACAAAATGGAATTTCATGCGACTGTCATACAAGCGAGAGGTTTAATCCACCATTTTCTACATAAGGAAATGCCTGTACCAAGTCAGGAATATGACAGCTGTTTTTCATTCGTTTTATGTGTTTGAGCTTTTGATTTTGCAATTTGATAGGGGACTTTCCATTTTGAATTTTCCTTGTGGAGTATGGTATTTTTGTTATTTCATTTATTCTTATTAAACATTCTTTTCCTCACAACTCAGTTGTTTTTTTTTTCATTTTTCGGTGTTTATAAATGGTTGCATTAAAAAGTGACTAAAATTGAGAATGGAAATGGGGAATGTGTCAAAGAGACAACAACCCGACCACAGAACAGACAACAGCAGAAGGCCACCAACAGGTCTTCAATGCAGCGAGAAATTCCCGCACCCGGAGGCGTCCTTCAGCTGGCCCCTAAACAAATATACATACTAGTTCAGTGATAATGAACGCCATACTAAACTCCAAATTGTACACAAGAAACTAAAATTAAAAATAATACAAGACTAACAAAGGCTAGAGGCTCCTGACTTGGGACAGGCGCAAAAATGCGGCGGGGTTAAACATGTTTATGAGATCTCAACCCTCCCCCTATACCTCTAGCCAATATAGAAAAGTAAACGCATAACAATACGCACATTAAAATTCAGTTCAAGAGAAGTCCGAGTCTGATGTCAGAAGATGTAACCAAAGAAAATAAACAAAATAAGTATTGTCTCAGTTTTTTTAAACTCTCTCTCATATTTTTCTTCAGAGGTCAAATGTTGTCACAATTTAATGTTGATGCTTGTGTTATATTTGTACATGGGTCTTTAAGTTCGCCAATTTCGGTAGCTCATCAACACGAAGAAGTCAAGATTTCAACACTTTGATAAAGTTTAAATATTTTTTGCTTCACATAAATTGACATTTTGAAGTTGTATTTTGTTTAAACTTAAAGTGACAACCCATGAAACATACAAATTTAGACCTTTAAGAGTCAACTGCAAAATTAAATTTATGTCTGAGCTCTGACTGTTTAGTAAAGATTAAGTGAATTATTGATTTCCTACAATTTGATGCTTTTTCCTTGACCTTTGACATTAAACCTTGAAAGTAAAAATACTTTATTATCTTCTCATGATCAAACAACACAATAAGGGGAACTCTTTGACTTCAGGTTTGTTTTTGCTAACTTGTTGATCAGACTTAATACATTTTTTTTATAAAGAGATAATACAATGTGGAGAAAAAATTGTAAATGTAATAGATATTGAAAAGAAAAGCATTAACAACCTTTGATAAACACCTCTAAAAACATACATAAATCTATGAATTATCTGTTTAAACATCTTTATGTATACAGTACTCAGCAAACAGATGTAGCATAGTGGATTAAGAATTGTCAGTTTAGTATGTACTACAGAAATAAATCCCTTCTAGTACTGTTGATTCATTATTATTTGTAGGGTACCAATTTTTCTCTGCATGGATTTCGAGAGTACATGTTAACAACAAATTTAAATGTTCAACGAAGTATAAATTTTCTATAGGCTTTTATAAAAACTTTGTCACAACCACAAAATCAAATATCCATAAAAATACAGTTTTTCTCAAATCAGGAAAAACACATAAATACACAGCATATGGCAACTTAGTTTACAATTATAAGGACTGGATAATATGTTCACTTTTTGTATTTCTTTATATTACTTATCAAATATATTTAAGGATTTGTGATTCGTTTAAACTTCATCACATGCACATCTGTATTTACTCAGTTTGCACGCCAACACTGTAACAGTTGTGTGTAGCTTTTCGTAGGTCAAAAACAGCATATTGCACAGGGTATACAGCATGTTACTAAAAATACATTATAAAAATCCCCAATTTAACATTGTTCATGCAATAGTTGTTGATTAATAATATAACAATTGTAGCCTTTGGTTGAGGTCAATACTATGTTATATCGACCTCATACAAAGGCTATAATTGTATAATGCTAGGAATTAATTAAAAATACAAAGTTGGAGTTTTGAGGGAACAGCAACTACATTAAAAAAAATCTTAAAATTGATAAAAAAAAAATTTGAATTTGAAATTTTCATTTAAATGTGTAAAATAAGCAGCACACTTCTTCCTTCTAACAAAAGTTTTGAAGTTCACATCTGGTTTTAATATTTATAACACATGTATATAGGTATAAATGCATGTCTGTATTTGATATGACAGTAAATACAAATATCTTATATAAACAATATTTTTCAATACTCCTGACTAATCTACTAGTATCAGATATCATAAAACAAATAAACACAAAACAATGTTCCTATAAATACTTTCTTGAAATATCACAATAATAAATAAACCGACAAAAATAATTAATAAAAGGTTTTTGTTCAATTGTTTCAATATGGTTCATATGATTCATAAAATTCAAGCATTCAAATATCTTTTCCAATATTGGAGACTTGTTATATTACTTTATATAAAATATATACTAAACGTAAGTATCGGATGTATAATGCATTTGTTATGGGCAATGAAACGTAACACTCCTGCTTACCTGTAAAAATTCAATTAGAACATAATTTACGTTACAAATGCATTATATGTATGTAAGATAGGTCATATACCTAAGACCAAGTATAGTACAATCTGATTTAAATAAAGATTCAGTGCCCATGCTTTGCTTACAAGGATCCGACACTGTTTCATTCTACTTTCTGTTTAAAAGACCTTTCAGGATCCTCTGGTTTTGTCCTTATGATACACACCTTAAAAAATTGGAGATTGCAATTTCATTGGCTGATGTAATAATAACCAGAACAAAAATCAGAACTGAGAGTTGTCAGATCCTTGCAAGCAAAGCATAGGCACAGGATCAGTATTTAAATCTGATTGTGTACAAATTATGTTGAAAGTCAGAATGTCTCTAATGTAACATTAATCCTATCTTTCTTGCTGTGTGTAATTCTTCAGTGTAGGTAATAAATATCTTCTCCAATGAATAATATTACGTATATCAATACTAGTTGTATTTTCTGGTTTACATTTGATATACTTACAGGGATGACCACAGACTATTTAGGGGGGTGCTCCTCCACCCTTGAAATTTTAGCACCGGCCTTAAAATTTCTAGCACCACTCTTGATTTTCTCAGAACCACCATTAATTTAGAGATTATGAGAGATAATTATGGAAAACAATTTTTAAGCAGTATAATTTTGAAAGACTATAATAAAGTTTTAATTTTTTTGTTATAAATAAAGATACCATATACATTTTTGTACACAAATATATTTATTTAGTATTGCAAAAGGTATAAACAAAAATGTCAATTGTTAAAATAATCATTTTATAAGCTTAACCCTTGAAAATTTGTCTGTGGGGATCCCTTTCAGAAGTTATAATAATGGCAACATAATATAACAACACAAATCTGTGGTAACTCAGTGTCTTGTAAAAAGGATAGTCTTCTGCATTCATCATTGTATGATATGGAAGGCTTAGCTTTTGATTATATTCAATCTGCTGTCTGACAATTGTGATTTGACGTCATCTGGAAGAGGGTTGCCTTTAATGTTTAAAGTTTCTAGTGAATCCATAGCTTCTAGCCTCATCACATCTACTTCTAAAAAAAAATAAAAAAATCTGTTATGAAGAATTCAGTAATGAAATATCCTAAATAAGGTTTTTATAAAGAATACAGTTATGTATAAATTTTACATTTAATTTAATGATGAAATGTGCATAAAATGATAAAAATGTTAGATTAATAAACCTGTCCTGTACATGTTGCATTAGATATGTTAGAGTATTACTATCCTATCTTAAATTGATTTCATTATTGTTATACATTGCCGATTATAAATTTATTACCCCCCCCCCCCCCCCCCTAAAATCACGGTAAATGTAATGTCCCACAACTCTTAAATGACAAACTAGGAAATTTTCAAAATTAATAGGGAGTTTATTTTAACAAATCCCAACAACAGCATAAAGTTTCAAATACAAAAGTGTATACTAATCCAACATGCTAGCTATATATAGAATTAGTGTGCTATATCTGAAAAATGGCCTTAAATTTGACAATTTAAAGTCCTGCAACAACAAATTGAAAAAATTTCAAAACTATAAGAGCTTTCTTCCATGAATTCAAATATTGCACCTAAGTTTCTTGAAACTTAATCAAAGCATTCTTTGTTTATTGTATGATTGTTCAGGCTGAGGGACAATGGAATAGCATAATATGTCCCATAGGGGTATAAAAATAATTGAAATAAAATATTTTCTACAAACCTGAGATACAGTTACTATGTACATTTAATTGTTTTAGTTTAACACATTGAAAGACGACTTGTGGTATTCTATCTAAGTTGTTAGATGAAGCGTCTAAATCTTGTAGTTCTTGAAGGTTTCTTAGTTCATCTGGTAGTGTATGTAGTTTGTTTCCACTTATGTTCATTTCTGTAAAATAGTAATATTAGTCAGCAATACACTGGTAACTATTATATTGTTATATATGTTATTATATTGTTAATTGGTATTCTAACATGACGTTCTTCAAACGCTTTGAGTACACACCCGTGGTAAAATATGAATATATTGTTTGGGCTGTTCCGATCGTACTTCCGCGTCATATGAGCTACCCGACGTCATAGAACGATGACGTAAGAATATAAGCATTTTGCGGGAAAATACACGCTTGTGAAACCGAAAATCATCACAACAAGGAAACTTAAACAAACGATGCTAAAATGTGTTATATAAGTCATTTTTTTGTATACATATATAAGACATATAAGTACAATTATCATTTAGATTCATCCAAACCTATCTAAGTATGTTATTGTAAATAGTTTAAGCATGTCATTTATTCAGTTTGCCCCCGTCTTTTACGTCAATTTAATAGTGTGTTTATTCATGGGAACGGCAAATAATGCCATTATCTAGAGCGCTTCGATCCAAAACAATTGCCGTATTTGTCCTATTAGAATCAAAATATCGCTCAGGGTAAAATATTTGTCATAAAGGGCCAACCCGTGGTAAAATCACTATATATTCAAGCCTCCATGAATTATTTCTTAAATAACATATGTTCTTGTTCTAGTTCTATTATAGTACAAAAAAGCCAAACAATAACTGTTGTAATGCTTATTGGTCAGAGTAAGGTTCCATAACAATCTTCATCATATACCAGAAGCCTAGGCCTATAACCAAGTCGATAAAAATGTTGTTGGGCCAGTTATATTTTCCTGAAAAGAGGCCTTTCGTCTCTGTTGGAGAGTTGTCTTATTACTGTATTAGCAATCATACCACATCTTCTTATTTTTATATCTACATCACATATATGTTTAAAGAAATTTTATGAAGAGTGATTTTCAGGCTTGTTATGTGTCAAGGACATTTTTCTGAAGACTGCCATAATCTGGATATCATGAAAAAATTCAATAATATGCAAAGCAAAATCTGGAAATCTGCTAAATACCTCAAAACTTTTATGCATGCATGCGGATTGATTGATTATTGGTTGCTTAACGTACAGTGGTATGCATGCTGGAAATATGGTTCATATATTTGTTAGAAAAATTACAAGATTGTTGTTGTTTTCTTTTATCCAGTCACAAATAAAGCTTTAACTATATGAATATGAGTTACTGTGATTTTTATCTAATATTTTTTTGCTATCTAGTGGCTGTTTCAATATTGTTTATCTGTTTATCAGATAAATTTAACCTGTAAAATGGCTAATATTACAGTCAAATTTCACATCATATTGTGATCACACCAACCACCTGCACCAGACTACTTTGAAAAATACAGACTTACATAGGCAAAAACAACACTATCACATTATCCAGATAGCCTGTCTCAAAACAGACACAAAATGGGGTGACTTTAAACAAGTCTCATGTAATAGAAAAACAAAGGATATGGGGTATCCATCCATGACACAAAATCAGTTCATGCACAGCAAAAAAAAAACAAAAAAAAACACAAAAAAAGCAAAGGAACAGCGCTTTTATTTATGTTCTTCATCTCAAAGTCACAGTGAGGCCTTCAACAAGAAGCAAAAAACTCTCACCTCACTGCAAGTCTAAGACGGCTCCTAGCACTGGCTTGAGCGGAATTCTTTGATAATATACATGTATATGGATAGACTTTGTAAGATGTAACACTACCTAATTTGGCCCGGTCAAAACAGAACATACTGGAAAGTAGAACATATTCAAAACAAAATAGTTCCTATGCATATTAAAGGGTAAATCTTAAACTATGTAGCATTTATTTCAGTAATTAAGGTATCAGATGAAAGGTGAATGGTGAAGGACTGGTGATCCTTGTCATGCTTGTAGAACACACAATTTACTGACAATTTAGAATAATACAAAAATGTATGAATGAATTTTAAAATTGAGGGCATATATAGCACCTACAGGCTACTCCTTTTTCTATCAAGACAATACAACATACATATACATTGTACATTCATGACATTGTAGTATCAATATAAACTTTGTTCTAAATTTCATGATATTTACCTGTTACTTTAGAAAATTTAGAACAGAACTTTTTTGGGAGACTTTGCAGCAAGTTTTGTGATAAATCACAGCTTTGAACTGTGATGTCTTTCATCATCATATAAACTGCATCAGGTATCTGTGTAAGTCCACATTCTGATAAATCTAAAAATGAATAAAAAGATTTAAAACATTGTTAATTGGTAATCAAAAAAGTGCTAAACAGTTCATGAAAGCTTTCTTACGGTAATTTACTAATTTTACTTCCTTAGTTCCTACTTGACACCTGTGCTAATTTGTCATTTGAGTATTGTTACTGAATATAAATCAAAAATAAACTTCAAAATTTTTTAAATGTTTTCTGAATCTTGGAAGTAATTTCTCAATAAACATGATAAAGAAAACCATAAATATTCATATATTTTTTTTAAGATAAAAGTATTTTAATGTAGTTAAGTCAATGTACAAAAAAAATGTATTAACTATTCCTAGGTACTTAAACAAGTGATTTAAAAATTACTTAACTGTTTGAAAATAGGAAAAACTAAGGGGTATATGTTTTTTCTTAAGTGTCAGGGCAGAGATACATTGTATGCACTTAAATGAGGTAAAGAAGGAATATACATAGTACAGTCCACATGTATATACATTATGATGATGAAGATGGATGGCTGTTTAACGTCCAGCGGCAAATTGATATGCATATTCAGGAAGAGAACATGTTAATGGAATATGAATATTAACCCTGCTTTGTACTAGACCAACACGCTGAGTTGGATTTTTAAAGTGCTAGTTCACAAGGTAACAGTCCGCAGGAAGACTTGTCACCTTACCCGGACACATTATCTGGACTCCGAGCCGACCAGTCTTTGCTCTTACTCCTTAATGCCGCGTGCTTAGCGGAGAAGCAGCAAATACCAATTTTAAAGTCTTTGGTTTTACCCGACCAGGGTTTGAACCCATGACCTCCTGCACTCAAGGTGACCACCGAGGCAGTTTATATATATACATTATGTATATACAGCTATCTGGTATATTTCATTATGATACACCAAATTCAAATTTGTGTGCCTTAAGAAAACATTATTATTGATTAATTGTTACAGAAAGAAAGCTGTTGTCAATTCCCACAATTGACCTGTCTTATAGTTAAATACATGTAGGTCATACTAAATGAAAATATAATTATATATACATGTACAATGAGCTGTTTAGATACATGTATGTAACATGACTAACATCGCATGCATCATATACTTAAAACTCAAATGATCGCATGGTTCCTTTTGTATGTATAATTCTATTAAATCATCAACAGTATTCATACTCCCTTCAAAAATGTGAAAACATAATCAGTTGATAATTACGAAATTCGATAAAATGTTAGCCATTAAAATTTTGATTTTTATCCAAACATGCCAAAGGGAAATAAATAACTTGAAATGGTTTTATAAAAAATATGAATCGCAGTTCCAATCACAAATTACAGCAGGGTGTTATAAAAGGCTACAGAAAAGGGGCCACACCATCCGAAAAATCTCCTGCAGGAAACACTATGTTAATGAACTGAACAAGCAATAGACAGTCAGGGGTAATACTTATACAAGTTTTTTTTTATTTACTGGTACAGGTTAATTATTTTGGAGGAAGAGTTATACATCACTTAGACATTCAGATTTTTTTTACTTATATAAGTAAAAAAGTCTTATTTTCCTCTACTCTTGAATTTCTCTTTACTACATTGCTCTAATAGTGTTAAATTGTCTGTCATTAATAGTTGTCTTTACTATTCATAAAAGTATAATTTCATGGACAATGAAAATCTCATTTGTCTGTTATCTTCAAAATACTGCTCATTTACAAGCCTCTTGGGAGCAATTATTGAAAGCCTTGCTGTGCGCAATAGATTTCTTTGATAGTTCTGGAGATGAGCTCTTATTAAAAATTCATTAGCAAACCAGGAAAATTCTGTTTAGGCATGTTTTAACATCTTAAGAAATCTTAAGAATTTAAGGGATGGTAAATAAAATTACTTGTATAAGTAAATTTTTGGAGAAGATTGAGGGGAGATAATTCAAACCTTGAAAATAAAATAAAAATCTAACAAATTTACTTATACAAGTAAATATTACTTACATCTTAAAGTAAATAAAAATGACTTGTATAAGTATTACCCCTGACTGATGGACTACATGTAATCCACACTCAGAGGCTAGCCAAATCAAAAAATCATTCCGGACACAGAATCATAAAAGGGTTTAATATATGGAGACGAAGTCCCTAATAACAGTAAGAAAATCAATAAAATTGAAAAATCAAAATACATGTAGTCATGATAGTAATGAACTCAAATCATTAACTTTTTTTTCTAACAGTTGAGCTTGCACATTACCCTGTTCCTATTCTATTGACAGACACTGTCATGTTGCAGTGTAAATCATTAGATTTCCCGCAAATTTGTATAACTGATTATTATCAAAAAGAATAATTAATGAGGATGAACATTTTGAATTTATTCTGTTAGAGTATGTAATAAAATGAGACTAGAGCTTATTCAACATACAATTTTATAGCAAACTCACCTCAAATCAATCAGGCAGATTTTTGTATCTGTACAAAGACCAGTAATAAGCCAACTTTGTATATTCCTAGTTTTTTATGAATAAGTTATTAAATTTATGTTTTTAATAAAAACTATACATTAAAACAAGAAAAAATAAATGTGGATAGTGTCCACATGTGGACACAGATGATGCCCCCGCTTGCATATCATATAGTTATAAAGGAACATAACTGAAGAACGGTAAAAGTGACGCTTCCAAATTTGAACATGATCGGAATTTTGTGGAAATAAGCATTGTGTGTAAGTCTCATAACATTTGGTTGAGGCTAACTTAAGTAGAGAACAGAAACTAAAAATTCAGCAATTTTTCTATTTGTAAATACACATAACTCTAGAACAGTTTTGTATAAGTTTTATAACATTTGGTTGAGACAAACTAAAGTTGGAAAACGGAAACGAAAAATTCACAATTTTTATGTTTATAAAGGGTCATAACTCAAGAATGGCAAAAGTGTCGACCCAAATTTCGTACTTAATCTGTATTATGTAGTAATAAGCATTGTGTATAAGTTTCATAACATTTGGTTGAGGGAAACTAAAGTTAGAAAATGGAAACAAAATATTTATACATTTCATTACATTTAGTTGAGACAAACTCAATTAGAGAATGGATTTTCATTTGTAAAGGGGCATAACCCTAGAACGGTAATCAAAGTGCTTGTAAGCACTGAATGGTAAAGATTGCTTTAATTTATCAGTAGGAAGTAAAATTGAATATTGCATTGTATAAAGCATTGGTTGTAATTGATTCAACTACCCTTCTGGACAAAGAAAGATAACTCCAATTTTCAAAGCAGACTTTAAAATATCTTTATAAATGAAGGGTAAAAATTGCTTTAATTTATCAGTGGAAGGCAAAATTAAACATTGCATTGTATGAAGCATTGATTGTAGTTGATTCAACTATAATCATGGACAAAGGAAGATAACTCCAATTTTAAAAATATCTTAATATTTTTAGAAAAAAAATGAAAAATTTAGCAATTTTTCCATTTGTAAAGGGCATAACTCTAGAACAGTAAAAGTGACGGCACCAAAATTCAAACTTGATCTGTATATTGTGGTGATAAGCATTGTGCATAAGTTTCATAACATTTGGTTGAGGCAAACTTAAGTTAGAGAACGAAAACAAAAAATTTAGCAATTTTTCCATTTGTAAAGGGCATAACTCTAGAACAGTACAAGTGACGGCACAAAAATTCAAACTTGATCTGTATATTGTGGTGATAAGCATTGTGTATAAGTTTCATAACATTTGGTTGAGGCAATCTAAAGTTAGAGAACGGAAACCAACTTTGGGACGTACGGACGGACGTACATACAGACGGACAAGGGTAAAACTTCATGCCCCCTCCGCTACGGCGGGGGCATAAAAAACACTACCTGGAGATCATGTTTCTTTGTTTACATTAAATATGATGTCATATATAAAATTCCATAATTGTTTCTATTTCACCACAAATTAAGAGCTGGGTTTTTTTTTCAACAAATGTTTACACATATAAATTTGCTGTTAACAGAATATCGTCATGATCGTAAAGCATTCTAAAGGTTTGCTGACTTCATCCCCTTTCACAGGTGCTACCTGCCTCATATAAATCAAGTTCAGGAACTCAAAATTGGTGTATACGAATTTTCATTTGTAAATAATGTGTAAGTTTGTAAGTAGACACCAGTCACCACACAGTCAAGACAACATACAAAAATATTTGTCTTTCAGGTCCGTCTTTCAAGTCATATCATTTGTCATGAAACGTTACATACCCAATTTTCCATTTTCTTGTGCTTCTCGTAGCCTGTTGACTACCTTCGCAACCCCGTCTCCCATTCAGATATACTAGATTTTCAAAAAATACTTTCACGTGTATGACTGTCAAAATTTGTTTTCGATTTGACGCATATATCATCGAAAATAAATATTTTAAAAATATGTTTAAATTCAATCAATGACTTTTAAATAGCTAACAATTTTTACCTTGATAAAAACAAACAATTCTCTTTTAAATTGGAAAAACGTATCTTAGAACATCCAAACGGATATTGTTTGTTAAGTACTGAAGCGACATTCCCGGGTGTAAACAAACTTTGTAAGTTCACAACTAGAGCGAGAGGTAAATTCCAGCTATATACCATGTTTAGTTTAAAATTTCATTTCTATTCAATATTGTGAATATATTGAAATTTAAATGCAAATACTCTGCTGCGCAAGCTTATTTCTATTGCCAAGAAAATATGTTTTACTTCTAAAGGCATGTTAGAACACATTACCCACTATTATTAAAGATGTGTAATGGTGTATCTTACAATTAATTAGCTCATTTTTTGTGTGCAACTTCTCCCATTTTAAGCAAAATTACATTTAAAATAGAATTGTTCTTTTAGAATGTTGCTTAATTGTCTAAATACTATTCCTCGGGTAGGGAACCAAAAAGAGAGGTTTAAGATACCAAAAAGATATTCAAACTCATAAGTCATTGACAAAATGACAATATAATGGCAAAAAAGCAACAAAAAGACAAACAACTGTATAATAAACACATTATAGAAAACCAAAGACTTGAGTTACTCCAACCCCATCAAAAACCTTGGGTGATCTCAGGTGTTCCAGAAGGGTTAGTAGATCCTTCTCCTCATGAGACTTCCATTGTGTTACTCCTATAAATTATGTTGCTGATTTATATCAACTGACAAGGCATCACACAATAGCAGATGGATAATTGACTCTTACCCTAAGATATCGCTTCATTTTCGAAAACCATCGGTCTTGTTAATATACATTGTAGTCTTGCCTACCACATTTTTTCATGATAAGACCCTTTCAGTGTGATTTAGAGTTTGTCCCTGGGGAATGCAACACCCCTACATATAAGAAATCCTTAAATATCATAAAAAATTTTCAGATTCCCACCCCTAAAGCATAAATGCCTTGATCATGTTGATAAGACCCTTCTAGTTCACCATCTGTTTTGTCCTTTTGGATCACGTTCTGCCCCTGCTATTTGTCATTTATTGTAGAGAAAATGTTCATACCCACCGCCTTATATTGTTAATTGTTAAATATATATAAAAGAAATCAGAAACCATACATCTTTTTTACCGCCATCTACATGTGTATTATAAAACATTTTTCAAATGTAAGTGCACCATTGATTTAGCTGTGTTGAGGAATAGGGTCATACTTGACCCCCTAATGTCATAAATATGTTAAATAAATGTGTAACCCGAATAATTTAGTCCCTCCATGTGATCGACTCTCCCACTCGCGAGGGCCTGAAATCTTTATACAATAAAAACGCGTCATGAATCCAGGATTTTGATTGGTGCTCTCTGTGAGAGAGAGCCAATCAGCTAATAACTCAATGTTATCCAGATAGATAAATACTGAGCTAATTCCGAATGATTATTTGATGATTTTATTATTGACATGGCCTTCAGGCGTTACTGTAGCCATTGTAAAGCAGTGGAATATAACGACTGAATTATTCGGGTTAAATAAATGTGAAGCAAAGTATTGTATCTGTATTTCACTTTAAAATGTACACTTGTTCTTCTTACTCTTCAAAGGTTGTACATGTATATGGTGTGTTCATATTGTGCTTAGACTTCCTAACAAAAAATCCACTGTTGGATTAGATAAACATGTTTATGTTTTCTGATAGATACTTCATTATATACATTTGTACAAAAATGTACATGTCCATGTTTACAAAACCAGAAAAAGAAGTTTTATATCATTGATTTGTTTCTATTACAGAATAATGGATGAGTTCAGACACACTTTTGTTAGACTATGTAGAGACAATCATACAGATCCCCCAGATTTTATAATTCACCAGTTAAAAAGGTATTTTAGATGTCCATACCACTTTTATGCAACATTTCTGGATTGTCAATTCCCTGTTTCAGTATCTAAAGGTCTATGGGTAATTTCATTGTTTGTACTCTAAAATGAAAATAATGCCATTTCATTGGTTGAATTTCATTGTTAAGGATATCTTTAACTAATTAACATTTTGGTGTGTGCTTACGAAAATGTTACCCTGATTACATTAGATTCTAAAATGGTGAATTCCAATCCATGATCCTGAGCACATGCTTTGTAGCATTTCCAGTCTATATGAAGAATTATGATAATTTATATCTGCAAACCAATGTAAAATTATTCAATGGCAATACCAGTGTTGCAAAGTAATATTTGCTGACATCATCATGATCATTCTGTGATTTTATTATTCAAAAAGTCATGAAAGTTTGACCAATATTTTAATTAAACTTTGCAATGACATCAGTCTGTGATTTGATCATTTAAAATAATCTTTCATTGTCTATGCTTTTTCATGGCCAGTAAATTCAATGTGCATCCTTTATGTAATTATTGAAATACAGTGTGGATATTTTAATTCAATGAACTTAGTAAATACGATAAATATTGTTTTGTTGTCTCATTGACATATATTCCACATCTTCTTTCATGTCTTTTATCTTTTATACATATCTAGGCTGATTATGAACTAGCCAATTAGTAGTCCAAGATTGCTCTGACAGGCTGACAGCCATTTTAGGACTGGTTAGGACTTCAGAGTGCAGTCCATTTAGAAAACATGAAAATTGTCGACCCAGATTTTGAGTAGATAAATCATTCAAGTCCTAAAAAAGGCTGCCAGACATCAGAGCAATCTTTGACTGGCCTATAAGTTTCTACTGGTTGCAGTTGATCAAATTAAAGTCTCAAAATAATATGTATTAGGAGATCCATAAATCATTTAATCAGTAAAACTTTTGATTTGCATGTTTTTATTAATTGATGCTCATATTGTGAAAAGTAAGGCAAATAGCACCAAACACACATGTGGGATTAGACATGCAATAATTCTCTAATTTCAGCTTTGAGAACACATCAAAAAGAGGAAAGGCAATCTTAGATTTGTCTACCAATAGTTTGTCTCCAAAACCATGTCACATTTTGGGGAAAGTCATTGCAACAGATAGGACATTTCTAGAATACAAGTTTGCAGACTGTATGCTGAGTGAAGATGGTATTTATGTGACTTATAACAAAGAAAGATAGAAATGAAAACATATACTGTCAGTGACTGTGGATTCATTATCACAAATTTCGTGTGAATATGTGAACCACAAAATTAAATAACTAACAAAGTTTAAATTTCCTATACACGTAGGCTTGTATGCAAACTTTAGCAAAACCACAAAATGAAATACCTAAGAAAATACAATTTTTCCTCAATCCACTAAAATAAGTACATTGTACTCAAAAAAATAAATGAATCCACAGTATTCATAAACATAAAATATCTGAATAACAGTAAACAAACTAAATATTACCACTTGAAAAGTTTCTTGACCCTCTCAAGTACGATGCTGAAACCTTCTAAAGACAATACATGTAGAAAGTGAAAAAGTCATCTTATAAACATGATAAAAAAATATCAAAACAGGAAATCACAATTGAAAAAAAATTAGTATTAGTATTAGTATGTATAGTGTATTTTTCAACTACCCTGAAAACAAGAATTAGAAAAAATGTTGAATAAAAAATGTCCAACAATACCAAGGAGATATCAGAATTGTACATTTAAAGTTTAAGAAGGTCCAACAATATTCCACAAAACACCACACAGAAAACTTAAGATTGGACAATATATATATACTCCACCAAAATCAAGGGGTGAACTCGGGTGTTTCAGAAGGGGAGCAGTTTCTGCTCTGCTAGAAACATCTGTCATGTTACTCATAATCAGACATCATGCAGGGATAAAAAGGTAGATCTCTTGTCTTTAAAATTTTAGTATGTCTTGAACATGCATTAAATATTTGTCACTAGATGTTAAACCACCAACAATCGATCAATTAAGATTTTAGCAAATTCACAAACCATTTTTGCCTGTAATTTTTATAAACCTATTAGTATGTTTAAATACAAACAGTTTTATAAAGACAAAGAAAGATAAAAAAAAAAAAATACCTATAAAAACAACAAAAATAATTATAAAAAGAAATATATCAGAATCATGAGAATACAACACAGAAGAAGTATTATTTACTGCAATAAAAGCTAAAAGTGAACTCAACTGCATTGAAAGGGTAAGCAGTTCATGCTTCACAAGTGACACCTTTCGTTTTGCTTGTAACAAGTGAAATACTCTAATAAATCCCACTCAGTAAAGGGGAGGAGAAAGCTTCAGTTACCATAACATATAAAGGGTCGTCCGTGACAAATATTTTCTGTAACCATGCCATAAAGAACCTTGCACTCAGGTGTATACTAGAACTTGAATTTTTTGGAAGAAATATAGATTGAGTGTTAGTTGCGTAATATCTGGTGGCAAATATTTCATTCATACTAAAGACACTTTTAAAAAATATATTGCCAGCAAATATGATGCAACATTAATTCTATTTTCTAATGTATTATTATTTTTTTAAGCTGTGAAAGGAATTTCAAATGGATTTGCACACAATTCTTACTGCAAAAGTCTGGATATGAAGGTTGGTATTGTTCATTTTAGTGAGTTATTCTACTGTTCAGAATAAAAAGTTTATTGATATTATTGGAGAAGATATTTATCACTTGCTGAAATAGACATCCACCGTAAGGGTTCTTTTGTTCCAAGGTCTGTATGGAATCAGTTCCAAAGTTATGGTACTTTACCTAAGGGCTATTCCATTAAAATGTATGTAGGAGGATAGGAAGGGAAGTTTAATTATTGAATGTGGGTCATGGGTCTTTTTTCAGTATGCTTCTATTACCATTATGCAAAATTATCTATAACTGGTTTTTGGTTGTAGGGATGTTTTGAAAGTCCCTTCCTACCCTCCCACATACGTTTTAATGGAGGGATAGCCCTAAATGACATAATTAAGAGATTGCTATCATACATGATGTCCTTTCATATAAAAGCATTTCAAAAAAATTTGTAAAAACTTGTTTGCAAGTTAAAACTTCATAAGATTTGAAAAACTTGTTTGAAAGTTAAACCTTCAAAAAATGTTCTATTTTAGAGTTTTAAGAAAAATAGCTTCTGTCGATTAATTATTCATTGAATATTAGTTTTCATAGGGCTCAGGCAAACCACAAGTATGCAACAGAAGACAAATATCCATTTCCACTTGCATGTAGAAATTGTCAAAACCACTTTAATAATCAAGGAAGTACCCATTAAAGAACAATTTTCCCCAGTCCACGAAAATTGGTACTCACGAATATTAATGAATCCACAGTAACTCATTCATGTATATCATTCAGAGCTACACATCCTACTGTTAGCTTCTGGTTTTATTAGCTAGTGCAGACAAATTGGGGAACTTCATGAAAACATTTACTGATGTAAAGTAAAAGATATGTGTTACTATATATAGGTGGATAAAATCATATTCATCTGCTATACCTTATTAGTAGTAAAATTTTGCCTCATAGGCATGTTCTTTTCACATTACTCTTTAATATTTATGTTTTTATCTTGTAGGGAAACAACATCAGAGGAGCTGGCGCAGAAGCCTTGGGGAAAATGTTACATCATAATCAATCATTATTAAAGTATGCAAATTCATTCTTATATTTACTGTTGAAAACTGATTTTGCATCAAGCAGATTCTATGATAATTTTTTTTTAATTTAATGATAGCAGGGAGGATTGTTTAATAACACTTGAATTAACATCATCTTTCGCAGTTATGCATCATATATTTACTGCTAAAAGCAAGCTCCAAGCAAGCTACATGTATTTTGATACATTAATATGGCATATGCTTCAAGCTTGATTTAATTTGATTTGAATTTTGGTGTTTTAACGCCACTTTTAAGCACCGCTTTTGGGCTATTTCATGGCGGCCAGTTTTTATTGGTGGAGGAAGCCGGAGTGCCTGGAGAAAACCACCGACCTTCGATAGGATAACTGACAATCCTAGTCAATTAAGATTGGAGTCGAGTGCACCCGCACGAGCGGGGTTCGAACTCATAACCTCAGTGTTGACTGGCTAGTGATTACAGTAGTAACTACTTAGACCACTCGGCCACCAAGGCCCCTCAAGCTTGATTTAAAAACTTAATATATGATCTCTTACTTCACCAAAAAATCTATGTGAGACTCAGCTCATAAATCTATTGTTGACTCTAACTTAAGACATTCAAGTCCACCGGACCATCACAGTTCTGAAATCTTGTAGTCCAACAAAATTATATTGAGTCATGTAATTAAGATATAAATAGATGGATTCTTAGATCATCTAAGTAGGCAAAGGATTAACTTTGAAACTGGTTTCAAACAAAATATTCATATGAGATCATACTTTTAACAATGTAGAGATATAGAACTACCTATTAAAATTTGATGATACATCATCATTGCTTCCTCTAGAAACTGGAAAGAAAAAATAAGAACAGAATTAAAGGATGAAGGCATCACCATCTATGATGAACTTTGCAAAATATATCACAACTTTTCAACAATTTTTTTCATTTTTATCGAGCCTGCGACTTTTGTCACAGAAAGCTCGACATAGAGATAGTGATCTGGCGGCAGCGTTAACTTACTTCTTAAAAGCTTAATATTTCAGAAGGTAGAAGACCTGGATGCTTCATACTTTGTATATACATGTAGATGCCTTATGATATGAAGTTTCCGTCTGTCATATGTCCATTGTCCTTGACCTCATTTTCATGGTTCAGTAACTACTTGAAAAGTAAAAAGTTAAGATTTTTTGTAATGTTAATTTCTCTCTTATTATGAATAATAGGATAACTATATTTGGTATGTGCTTACCTTGCAAGGTCCTCATGCCTGTCAGAAAATTTTCACTTGACCTCTACCTCGTTTCATGGATCAGTGAACAAGGTTAAGTTTTTGTGGTCAAGTCCATATCTGAGATACTATAAGCAATAGGTCTACGATATTTGGTGTATGTAATGATTGTAAGGTGAACATGTCCAACTGGCAGGTGTCATCTGACCTTGACCTCATTTTCATTGTTCAGTGGTCATATTTTAGTTTTTGTGTTTTGGTCTTTTTTTCTAATACTGTATGCAATAGGTTAACTGTAATTGGTGTATGGAAATATTTTAGGATGTTCATGTCAGTCTGGCAGGTTTTTATTTGACCTTGACCTCATTTTCACGGTTCATTGCTCAATATTAAGTTTTTGTGTTTTGGTCTGTTTTTCTAATACTGTATGCAGTAGGTCAACTATATTTGGTGTATGGAAATATCTAATGATCTACATGTCAGTCTGGCAGGTTTTATTTGACCTTGACCTCATTTTCATGGTTCATTGCTTATGTTAAGTTTTTGTGTTTTGGTCTGTTTTTCTTGAACTTTAAGCAATAGGTCAACTATATTTGGTGTATGGAATGATTGTAAGGTGCATATGTCTGTCTGACAGGTATCATCTGACCTTCACCTCATTTTCATGGTTGATTGGTCAATGTTCAGTTTTCCTGGTTAACTTTTTTTCTTAGATACCTTAAGCAATAGGTCAACTATATTTGATGTATGGAATGATTTTAAGGTGTTCATGTCTGTCCGGCAGGATTCAAATGACCTTGACTTCATTTTCATGGTTCATTGGTCAGTATAGAATTTCCATGGTTTGGTCTGTTTCTTTTATACCATAAGCAATAGGTCATCTATATTCTGTGTATGGAGGGATTATATTAAAGGTGTACATGTATTTCCGGCTTGGTTTATCTGACCTTGACCTCATTTTCTTGGATTAAAAATGTTAATGTGATACTTCTAGTAAAACTTTATATGTAGGGCTATCAACATAAAATCAATGGTCAGTATAGTAGGCTAGACATTTCATCGTGTACACTCTTGTTAATCACAAAAAAAAGAATGTCTGATGATATTTAATTTAGTATAAAATGTAAATTTCATTTCCTTGTCTTACAGATTGTGTTTGGAATGGAATGCCCTTGGCATGTTAGACAACTCCTTTTCACTGTTCTGTGAAGGACTTGGGTCAAATGAATGCTTACAGGCTCTGGACCTTAGAAACAACCAGATCAATCATGACTGTGCCATTGAATTAGCAGCTAACTTAAAGAGAAACAAAACTTTAAGAGCTATAGGTAAAGACTTTGTAGAAAATTGGTCTATAGATTGAATGAAATATTATTGACTTTCACATTTCATATAATATGAAGTTTTATATGATAATGACTATGACCAAGGTTTTAGTAGAATGAAAATAATTTATTTTGTAAAAGCTGTATTACAATCAGGGCTTCACATAATTTTAACCTTTAAAGTTAGGAATTGAAAATTGTATTGAGTTAAATTCCCTGCATTATTATGGTTTTCTTTTACTTCAATCAGAAAGTAAAAATCTCAATGTTTTTAGTTGACCTTTGATAATTCTGTTTACCCAACGTAATTTGATTTAGTTTCATGTTAAGTTACATTCAATCTTGGCATACTACATGAATAAGCATCCGTGCTTATCATTTGAAAACTGGTACATGTATAAATGAAGAATTAATCTCAGACAATAAGCTGGTTTTAACAAGCCATAGAATTTTATAAAAAATTTGCTTGAATAAATGTTATTACCAGACCTGCCAACTATCCCAATTTATGGGGGATATCCCCCATGAGAGGTGTTGAGTTGAATTTTGAAATTCTTTATTTTATAAACTGAACGCCTCAAAACATGCGCCTGTCCCAAGTCAGGAGCCTCTTGCCTTTGTTAGTCTTGTATGTTTTTTAATTTTAGTTCATTTATATGTTTTGGAGTTTAGTGTGACGTCCATTTTCAGTGTACTAGCACACAATTTTATTAAGTGGGCAGCTGAGGACCACCTCTGGGTGCGGGATTTTCTCGCTGCATTGAAGACCCATTGGTGGCCTTCGGCTGTTGTCTGCTCTTTGGTCGGGTTGTTGTCTTTTTGACATATTCCCCATTTCCATTCTCAATTTTATTCAAATGAGTTAAAAGGGTATTTAAGCATATACATACTCATTCGAACAATACAGTATATGTAGTAGGTTAAAAACATTTATGACAATAAAAGAGGAGCATAAATTCCTCTTCAGCTTAAAATCCCCCATGGAGATTTTGAAAAGTTGGCAGCTATGTTATAACTGATTTGATACATACAATTGGAATGGTGAAGAGAAAAGGGAAAGTATAAGATAAACATGATAAAGTTTGGTGCTTATTTATTCCTGTAAAATGGCAGAAAGTGTCATTATTGAATGATATATTTTTTGGTTACTTTTTTAACGTACTAAATGTAGACCTTTATGAATATGACTATATAAGCAAAGTTTTCATGAAGCATTTTGATTGTGATGTCATTGTAGTGATGTCATAATGACAGTTCACCTAATTTAATCCCCAAAAAAACTAAAAGCTAATTTCATTCACACTTTGGCTAAGTTAATACAGGGTATAAGTGTCGGTCAAAAAGATTTTTGTCAGAAGTAGGTACACATGTAGAGCTCTTTATTTTTGTCAGTGTTCTAAATTCATTGTCTTTTACATACTGTATTACAAATACTATTAAAAATTTATTAAACTTAAACCACAATGTTTTATGAAAGCATATTGATTCAAATTTTAATTCTGTATATTTTAGAAAATTTCAAATAAAATTTATTTTAGGGCTATTATGGCACCAATCCTACTTTGTCCTTTTGCTGTTTTTACACAAGAAAATCAGAAGATGTTTATTCCATCGAATAAATTTTATTTTTTATTTTCTTAGAACATAAAAATTATAACAACTATTATTTCAATTAGGTTTGTTTTTTATTTATACAATTTTTTTAAAAGTAATTTTTTCTTTCTAATGTAATAATGTATATTTATCTAGATCTGAGATGGAACAATGTGGGTCTATTAGGAGGAAGAGCTATTCTAGAGATGTTACACACTAACAAAACTGTTTGCCGACTAGAGCTTGCAGGAAACAATATTCCTGGTGATATACTAAAGTCTATTGGTAATTTAAAAAATAATTTATATCACATTGTCTGTAGTATAAATGAATGCAACACTCATAAATATAGTTTATATTGGCATTTCAAAACTTGCTGCCATCAAATTGTGTCTCAATTTTTTCTGCCATTAGGTTTTATATACTGTAAATTGAGAAATTTTTTGCAATGTTTTTATTTTTGTGAAAATTGCAGCTGGAAAGGGTTCGCACAAATAAAACTGAAATTGCAATAATTAGTCTCACACTTTTTACCATTGCTCAATGGTCACAAAAATAAATAAACGCAAAAATTTCTTAACTTACAGTATCATAAATCGTGAGAATTGAGCCCCTACTTCAAGTAATTTGAGAAACTAGGTAAGATACTGCGTATATATAGATTCTACCGCTGATCGAGTGTGATACAATATTTCTCCACTCGAGACATAAATTTTCAAACTTAAAACATGAGGCTTGTTGAGTGTTTTAAAAATTTAGAATTTAACTGTCGATTGTGGAGAAATATTGTATTGCATGAGATTTGGTTGTGCAATCTGTTTCTTTATTGATTTTTAGACAAACTTTATCTTTCTTTTCCAATGATCTGCAAAAAGATGTGTTCTTTTTATGTGACGTCATCAGGCATGGTTGCCTTTTCATGATGTCACAATAGCAAATATAGAGAAAATACAAGAAAATTTGACGTCACAATTGAATTTTGACCATTAAAGAACTGATAGAAAACAAACCACACATTGATTATAAAAAAAATAATCAAATGGTTGGGGAATGTATAAATTGGTTGAGAATAAGAGAAACAAATTTATACATTTATTGGATCAAGCTTTCCAACATTCCAATTGTTAAAGAATTTTTATAATAGATATGAATAAAAGGATACATAGGATATACACCAATAAGACTTCAATGGAACCGAAAAAATAAAAAGCAAATGTCATCTACTGGCTGTTAATCTGATACATGTCTCATTAAGAGGGTTGTAGTTGATAATTTTAAGTTTGTATTCATGTAACTTTCATTTGAAAATTGTTGTATTTCATTTGTACAATAGAAATTTTCTTAGATAAAAAAATGTGATTTAAATCAGATTTACCAAATTTTATAAAGAAATGAGCTTTACAGCTTATATTGGCCTAAATTGTGAATCTCGTTTCCTGTTGTTTAAGGCTGATAAGTTTTCATTAGATGTTTACAACAACAGATATCCACTTTAGGAAGATTTTAAAGTTTCTGTTCAACTTTATGATACAGAGACTCAAAGATGTGATAATTGCTATTGGTGGCATCAGACTGACAAGAGCTTGAATTTGTAATATGATAAAAATGTTTTTTGATTTAACAGAGACAGCAATTGGACAAAATGAAGACAGAGCAGTATTGAGTGAAGATCACAAGAAAAAAATGCAGATGCTAACAAAGCATGTCAAACAAATAGAAACTGATAAATCTTTACAGGTAATTTAAGTAACAGACAACATAGACTGACATCAATTATGCAATTGTCATGTGACCTGATTTCTGAAAATCACATCTCAGAAATGTATGTAACAATTTTCATCAAAATTTATTTTTCAAATTATTTGTCACATTCTCAATTATAGTTTCAAACCAAAAGCTATACAACTTATATGTATATCAGGGATATATGTACATTCAAACTATCAAACAACATTTTGAAATTCAAAGGGATACCAGACTATAAAATTGACATAACATTAGATCAATAATTCAGAGGATCTTTAAGAAATTTTCATACCTATGTCGTATTTTGAATATTTTCTTAAATTAGACATTTTACATTCTTGTTGACAATAACTGAACCTATTTAAAAACAGATGCATTTGTGTGCAATAATACCTTTAAATATATAACTTTCTTATCTTATCATATGTTGTACATTTCCAAAAAATTAAATGCATCTTCAATTACACCTTGGTTACATAAAACACATACTCTTTCATTTCTTGGTTTTTGTATAAATCAACCATGTTAAATATTAAGTTTGTGTGAATAAAGTCCATTCTTAGTCAAAAATCTAATACATTGTGGTGATAAGCTTTTCGTCAAATAAATCTATAAATGAAAATCAATTTATTAATAGTACATTTTGGTGCTGCATCTGAAGTAAAAAATTCTTACTTGAAGAAAATGGTCAATAAGCCTTATAAAGCACACATTATGGAAAAAATTTTGTTACTTGTCAATTAATATATATGTAGTAATTTAATTTCACTCTTCTTATATATTTTTTAGATGAATGATCTCATGGATACTATTGAAAAACAAGAAGATGTCCTCAGGAATACAAAAAGGTATATTTATATAATGTATATAACATGGAAATATTTTCTCGCATACAGAAGTATAATTTATTTTCATTCTTACAACATAAGCTATGAAATATGAAAATATAAAGTGATCTGCAATTGATAAGCAACCATAAAACATGAAAATTAAAAGTTTTATTCAAACTGAAATATAATAAACATATACAAAAAAACAGTATTCAACTATTATATAAAAATGAATTGGTTCAAATGATATGCTTTAAATTGATTTAAAAAGTCACTACTTTTTTCAGAGTTATTTTAACATTTCTTCCTGCAGTTTATTATAAAACTCTCAGAAGACATTTATTTACTTTTCATTAAATCACGGTGTAGAATGGTAACGGACTTATCGGGTTTTTGTCGGCGTTTCCGCACTAATCGGGTACGGCAACGGACTTATCGCGTTTTGTTTCCAGACAGTGTGACACAAAATGAGCCGAAAAGAAGTCGTTATTGTTTATGTTTATATGATCACGGAAGGCACCGATGATCTAATTTTGCAAAATTTTTCAATTTGCCTAGGTACCACTCTTGGTTTTTATACGCCCATTTACGGGACGTATTATGGTATACTGTTGTCCGTCTGTCCTTCTGTCCGTCCGTCCGTCTGTCCGTCCGTCGTCAACATGTCGGACATTAACTCAAAAATACTTTAACCAATCTGCATAAAACTTTGGTGAATTGTTTATATCTATTGACGTGAGCTCCCTTTCGTTTTTTATAAATTTCAGATTTTAAGTTTCCGAGTTATGGGGTTTTATTCATTATAAAAAGGGGGATTTTCCAGTTTTCGGACAATAACTCATGAATGCTTTCACCAACTTGCAAGAAATTGTGGTGAATTGTTTATATCTATTGTCATGATCTCCCTTTTGATTTTTATATATTTTAGATTTTACGTTTCCGAGTTACAGGGTTTTATTCATAAAAAAAGGGGGATTTTCCAGTTTTCGGACAAAAAATCAAAAATGCTTTCAACAGTTCTTATGAAACTTTGGTGAATTGTTTATATCTATTGATGTAAGCTCCCTTTAGAATTTTATAAATTTTACATTTTACATTTCTGAGTTATGGGGTTTTATTCATTAAAAAAGGGGGGATTTTCCAATTTTCGGACAATAACTCAAAAATGCTGTCAGCAATTCTCATGAAACTTTGGTGAATTGTTTATATCTATTGGTGTAAGCTCCCTTTACATTTTCATAAATTTCTAATATGAATTTGAGAATTAATTGAACTGTATTTGTTTATAGTCTGACAACAGATTTACTAAGTATTGCGCAACAGCACAGTGTATTGCACAACAGCAAGTTCTTTGACTAAATTTATTCAGAAACCTATAATATGTCAAATATTTAATTACAATCCAAATTCAGACCTGTATCAAGCTTGAATATTGTGTCCATTTTTGCCCCAACTGTTCAGGGTTGGACCTCTGCGGGCGTATTCAGCTGCGCTCAGCGAAGCAGTTTATTTCAAAGAGCTCCACACTAAACAGGACAACCGGCCGAACACAGCTACTAGTGGTGTGGTTTCCGTTCAAATACACAGTATATTAGAATGTGGACTTTTTGTGCTCCTTTATTTCATGCAAAATACATATTAGAACCACTTGTGTGCATTCAAAAACAAAAAATATCATATATTAAAGCTTTTTCAAAATTGCTTGGCAGCGGACTAATCGGGTTTCCCTAAAATGACATGTTTTTTGGCAAGGAACTGTTTGGGTTTATTGAGCACAGGACTTTTTGTGTTTTTATTGTTTTAACAGGGTAAAAAATGATGTTTTCGTATTTTTTGTTTGTTTGGGAAATGAAAAATAAAAGATTTTAAAAACCCCATTTGACATCTTGTGCTAGAATATACAAGTCTGGAACTTATCACGGACAAGTGTTTTTTTCCATCTTGATTTTTACATTATGATAGAAAATAAAGGGACATTGAGTAAAAGTACACCGGTATGGGGTAATATCGTATGCAACGCCAAACAAAACACAAATGGTCAAGGAATAAGGCTTTTATTTCTGCTCTTTCCCAGATAAACATGTGCAGATCTATTGATGGATGTTTCGAAAAGACACATTCATTCCGGCGTAATAGAAAAGACAGGTTAATATTAATGTCTCTCGTTTAAATGCAAGGCTAAGGGCAAGGATGTTAAAAACAATCAGCAACATTCAATTCAATTTTAGCCTATTTTACGTTACATGATTTATATATCTAAATATATATATTCATACCAAGTCTTCTTTCGACGTATTCATAATGATGCATGTATGAGTGAAGCTTTATGTTTCAGTCATGAAAAACAATTGTTGATGGAGCCGGTGAATAACTGTGACAACCTAAATTATTAACCCATTTAGTCTTAGATGCATGATTGTTTTATTAGTTGTTAGTGGCTTTGAACCAGTTGTCAGTTAACTGTGAGTACTCGCAGATCTGTTCCTAGTGTCTTTTTGTTGTTGGGATGTACAAGTACCCGGCCACGTCCACTTGTATTTTTGTCCATCTGATGAGTTAAGCCTTTTTCAACTGATTTTTATAGTTCATTCTTATGTTGGACTGTTCTACCACTGTCCCAGGTTAGGGGGAGGGTTGGGATCCCGCTAACCGTGATGTTTAACCCTGCTACATTATGTATGTATGTGCCTGCCCCAAGTCAGGAGCCTGTAATTCAGTGGTTGTCGTTTGTTTATGTGTTACACATTTGATTTTTGTTCATTTTTTTATATAAATAAGGCTGTTAAAAAGTTCTCGTTTGAATTGTTTTACATTGTCATTTCGGGGCCTTTTATAGCTGACTATGCTCATTGTTGAAGGCTGTACCATAATTATGACGTCTTGAAAGGCTATTTATTATATTTTTTCCTTTCTTTGACGCCTTACATCGTCGCAGAAGGGCATCAAGGAAAAAATTTAGAATTGCCTTCCCAGACGTCATAATTATATGGACTTGAAACCTTAAATTCCTGCTATGAGGACGAGATACTGATAGAATCCCACACATTTGTTTGTGGATTAATAAAATATATCATTGCGTGATGTGTGATTAATGTATAAAGTAAGAGGTGATTAACCCAGGCTAAGTAAACACATAGACTGACTGAGAAGATAGGAGTCTCCATATTCATTTGCGCACAAAAAGTCCGGTGCTAATAACACAAAAAGTCCAGTGCCACTAATTTTTCAAATTAACCATCATTTAAGACCTTAATAGTGCATGAAACAGTACCGAAAGGGAAAATGTCTACATGTAATGAATAATAACCAAAAATTTACTTGGAAAAGAAAACAGCATGATTAAAACACGCTTCAATTAGGCATCTTTCCATGAAAAATGATTGTTTTCAAGTTCGGGTACCACCTTGGTGGAAACAATTTGAAATAAATCGTAGCTTCCCATGAATATATGATTAGCTAGCCAGCAAAATAAATAATTTCCCCATTCTGTGACATCAAGCTTATTTGGAAATATCAATTCTGCTTTAATACAAGTTGAAAGAAATAACCACTTACGCCAAATTTGTCATCTGAAAACGCGATAAGTGCGTTGCCGAACCCGATTAGTGCGGAAACGCCGTAAAAAAACCCGATAAGTCTGTTACCATTCTACACCGTGTAAATGCTTTTTTTTATTAGAACAACTACTCAGCAAGTGGCACAGTTACAAGAGGCTCTAGAGGAGAGGAAATCATCATTCAATGCATTAGCTTCAAAGTAAGTTGAAATGAAAGAGAACTATTTTGAAAATATTACATTATTCAGTTTCCAATTGCCTTGGTATTCTTGTTATTGTCTGCTTACCTTTAGTGTGGGAATTTTTGTGTTAAATCTAAGGCCTAAACAAATGAATACATTTGCAGTTGCTGCTCTTCTGCTAAGCATGCAGCTTTCAGAAGTACGAAGAAAGACTAAAAGATTAAAGTCAAGAAAATTGTATTGAAACAGGGGAACATGTTTTCTTGTAAGCAGATACCTGATTTTTTATGTGCTCTATGCAAAAAATTACAAAACTCAGTCAATTTATTTTTCATACAAAAAAAAAGCACAAAGTACAAATATTACTAAAAAAACAATTTTAATGTAGAAATGTGTAATTTGTTACATTAAAATTTTTATGAATAAAACATATGACAATATCATATTATAAATAATAGGACATGGAAAAACATTGATCATACAACAACCAAATAAAATAATATTGATAAACAACAGCAATCTTCTAATACTAGTTTACCAAAATTAGTCATTTAAGGTAGTACCTAACACTACAGGGAGATAACTCTGTAAAAATCAGCTAAACGTTTTAATTACGTTGTATTGTTAAGGAAATATTAAGCTTCTCAATGATCAAAATTAGTGTTTGTCAAACTGCTATATAACCAAAGAAATTTTTCTGATAAAGTGGTTGGTTCAAATTTTTTGAAATTTTTATATTTTTGTCAAAGGGTCAAAGTAAACATTTTGTCAAAATTTTAGGAAAATTAAACGAGCCAAATTAATGTTAGTCAAGGTGTTGGGTACCACCTTAAATGATAAATAAACACCAAAACCATGTGGCAGACTCATAATTATAATGAATCCAGACTTGTTGTGAAAGAATTCAACAGTTTTGAGTTATGCCAAATAAGAATAGTTTACAAAGCATAAAACTGCTTGATTTATTAGAATCTAAAGGACTATGGGTTATTCATTGTTCTTACCCCAAAATGTAAATAACTGCATATCATTGGTTGATTTTCGATTGTCTCTGACATTTTTTAACCAATCACAGCATTTTGGTGTATGCTTTTGAAAATATTACCCAGAATGCATTTAATTCTTCTACAGCTAATTGAAACCTGGTGTTATCTGGTATAAACCTGAGTTTACTTTTATGATTACAGATTATCAATGACAGAATCTGAACTAGCTTTACAGGAACAGAAAACACATGATGTAGAAATTGTAGTAGAAAGACTAAAACAAGAACTATCAGGCAGACACAGCTCTCATAACGAGGACCTGAGGAAAGAACGAGAGGTAAACATAAAGCTTTTTCAATTGATTCATTAAATTGATGCTGAATGCTATCCGTTTGAGCACACAATGAAGAAGGCACACTTAAATTCCTTCTGCTCTACTTATAAAAATCAGTTAAGATTGAGTTGCTGATCACTTTAATTGATATCGTTTTGAATATGCATAAAATATATGCCAGTGGAAATTAAGCCTGCAACGATCAAAATATCAACATTTAATAATGTATTGATAGTTTCCCAGGAAATTGTCTGACATCTTAGGGTAGAAGTCAGATTATAATAGAATGTCAAAATAAAAAAGAGGTCAGCATGCTCAGTATGGCAAAAAAAATTAAAAATCTTGTTTAATGCTGTGGTTATTTTTTAAAATTTATATTGTCCTAAATATGCATGCAATAAATGCCAATAGACGTTAAGCCAGCAACAATCAATATGTCATCTTTAATTGATAGTTTTCCAGAAAATTTTCTGATATCTTATTAGAAGTAACATTATTAGAATATTTGTTATACAGAGACAACAATGAAAAAGAGCTCAGTATGGCCAAAAAGTTGACAAATCTTGTATAATACTGTAATTATTTTTTACTATAGACAAGAGCAACAATGGAAGCACAGCTGCATAAAGAACTGTCAGAGTCTAGTGATAAAAATATACAATTACAGGCCAAGGTAAAGTAATAAACTACAAAAGAGAACTGATGCTCACAACTATAATACTGTAAATTCAGAAATTATTGCGAGGTTTTTATTAATGTGAATAATGCGACTTGGTGATTATTGCAATAATAAGAACTTGCATTCTGGTATTTGTTACATATATCTGTTTGCAGATATTCCTGAATTCGCAATAATTAATCTCACATTTTTGTCTATTCTTCAAAAATCCCAATAATACATTGACGCAATAATTTTTGAATTTACTGTAATAATTAAAGGTATGTGAGCAAAGCTCAAAAATGATACCCCTGACCCTTGAAAGACCATGATTTGACCAAGATGAGGTGAGCTGCTGGTTTAAATATTGACATTCTTTGAATACAGCAATTACAGTGACATATTATGTTAAACACAAAAATACTGTGAACAAGGATATTTTCCAAGGGTTGTTAGTTTCATGATTTCCATGCCTAATTTATATTATTTGGGTTAAATTTGCTTATCAAAGTTAAATCTGTCCTTCACATCTTTCTTAAAAGAGAGGCAGATGAACCATTTTCTGGACGTTGAGATTTGGCCTTTATTATTGTGGGAATTCCATGTTTACACTTATTGGAACTCGGGTATTAATTACAAATGTGTTTTTAAGATCTGCGAAAAAGAGCTTTATATATTCAGGAATTTCAGATGAAACCCTCTCCCACCCCTTCTTAAAACAATTTGTGTGATAGATTATTTTTTGTGTTCACAAAAATAACTTCATCACAAAAAAATCCACAGTTACAGTAGCTTAACATTCATATTCAGTAATTGTATGTATTTATTGCTATTTTTATATCTTTTCAGTTGGATGATACAGAGAGGAAATGTCGTCTGCAACAAGATCAGATCTTTGAACTGAAGGAACAGGTCACACATTTACAAGCAGAAATCAAAATTAAAGGTGCTCACTTTGAAGGTATGTAAAACACTGAAAACTCTGGTTAACTGCAAATTAGAATTAATAGCAGTAAATAGTGTATATTAGTTTAAGTGCTATTTGATTTTTGCATTATGACTTCATAAATAGGTATATGCTAACTTTCATTTCCATTTGATTTATAAACAAAAAAGCTCATCAAAGATACGAGGCTTATAATTTTGTACACCAGACACAAGTTGTGTCTGCAAAAGACTATTCAGTGATGCTCAAATCAAAAATGTAAAGGCAAAAAAAAGTACGAAGTTGAAGAGCATAAAAGGCAAAAAATTCCTAAAGGTTTTACCAAATACATATAAGGTAATCTATTCCTGGGGTAGAAAATTCTTAGTATTTCGAATAATTCAAAGTTTTGTACTTTCAATTTTAAATACGATAATATCAATGATACCTCATGTCAACACAGAAGTGCTGACTATTGTGCAAATTATGATTAAAAAAAACTTTAAATTTGCATTTCTATGGTGGTTATTTTTAGAAAGTTAACCTGAATAGTAATTGTAAATAATCAATTGAAATTTAATGCATGGTAGGGTTAAATAAAAAGTGCCTTCAAACCCTTGCCATTTATACATCTATTTCTGGAACAGCCCATAAAATATATCCTTTTCATTTTAAACTAAGAATACAATATATATAGATGAACCTGTTTTACAGAAAGATTACAGTCAGAAAGAAACAGACACAAAGAAGATCTCAGAGACGCAGAACAAATAAGACAAAAAGAGGTATAATTTGAAATAACATGTGTTAATTTATTAAAACTTTATTTTTCAAACTCTTCTTCTTTATTCAATTTGATACAACAATTTTTTAAATGACAGTACATGAATTTTCAGAAAACTTTTATTTTTTAAATCCACTTCAGGCTTTTTCAGAATTAATTGAATGGGGGTGTCGGAAGGTACTTCTATTAAAATTTGATGGATGGTGGCTATTTTAGACAGATAGCCTTAATAATGAATTAAAATTTTATGCATGGCAGGGTTAAAAAAAACGTGCCAATCAACTATTTTTAGAAGAGTTATGCCCCTTTGAAATGTTAATTATATGGAAAATTGCATTGTTAATGCTCTCATGTGTACAATTCTTGTCTGATTTTTATGAAACATATATCATAGGTTTATATCAGCAATGTCTCGAATAATTTGAAATTCAGTGCTGATTAATTATTTTTAAAAGAGTTTTGCCCCATTGAAATATTAATTATAATGGAATCTGCATTGCATTTGCTCTCAAGCTTTCATTTCTCTAAGATATTTATAAAAAGTTTTAAAGAAGAAAAACACAATTTTTTTAGTTATTGCCCTTGGACAGATAAAATATGTGCAAGGCAGGGGACATTGGAACTCTGTTCTTTTATTTTATGGCAGCAATAAACGAATTTTAAGATATAAAGATACCCCAGCAATTAGATAATTTGAAAAAATTGAGCAGATTATGTTAGCAAATACTTAACTTTCTAGGTGACATATTGATCAGTTGTCTGGTCAAAGGAAATAATTCAAATGTTTTAAGAGTAGCGTCAGCCATTGCAAATGCATTATAGGTTATCACATTGGTAAGAAATGCTGCATCACTTCTTAAGAACTCTGTATTAAAAAGTAATGTGGGGTAAAAGCCTGTGAGACAGCAAACCAATAATGATATATAAAGAAAAGAAAAAGGGGGATTACATCTTCTAGTGATATGCAAAAAAAAATGGTAAAATTTTTCATTGTATTATCTTTTCATACAAACTCATGCAATTCTGTGAAATTACTTTTATTTGAGTGCAATCTTTGTTGTCTATGCATAATTCATTGGTTTGTAGTTTGTGGATTATTAAATTTATTGATTCTCTTAGACAAATGAATCTCATTATTATATTTTTCTTTATTCTAATGAATTATGAAAATTAAGATCTGATGTGAATTTATATTTTTTCCACTAAGGGCAGTTTTTATGAAATAATCCAATATTTTAAAATGCCATCAATTGTAAATTGATAAGTTATATATTGATGGATATTTCTGAAAAGAGCTTTCAAAAAGATCATACACAATTATTAATGCACTTCCAGGTATCCAGAGTGAGACAAGATGCAGATGAAGTTGAAGCAAATCTAAGGGAGAGAATCCAACAGCTAGAAATGACAAGACTTGAGTTAGAAGAAGAAATAAGTAGACAGAAAAATCATAACATGTCCAATAAACTACAGCATGAAGAACAGCTTACTATCGTCAAACAAAAATTCCAGTCTGAGGAGGTAATTTACAATGAATCAGATGATGATATACGTATATGGACCACCAAAGGATTTTCTGTAAAACAAGGAAATATTTAGGTCAATGAAGGCACTTTTTCAGAGATCCCACCACTGAAATCATTTTTTCTTCTTTTATGTTAAAAATATGTCCTAAATCTATCTGTTCATAGAATTCCATATGCAAATGTTTTTAAAAGTACCCCAGAAAGTTTTTTCTAGAACAGCCGTATTAAATCATTTTGAAAAAAATGGACTTGGAAAGGTAATTCCAATGTGTAAATCATACAGAAAATTATGGCAATATTTCAGAATATTTACGATATTGGACAACACTGTAATATTAAAAGTCAGCTACATACACAGACATTCTATCGAAATATATTTATTATGTGTTGGCTGATTAGATTACGGCAATTCTGTTATAAATTCTACTTTTACATCCTGGTATTTCTACTAATCATGTGATTAAATTATATAAATTATATCCCGGTATCTCTACTAATCATGTATTCCATCCTGGTATTTCTACTGATCATGTAATGAACATACAAACTTGAACTTCTACTGAACATGCGATGAACATACAACCTTGAAATTCTATTGATCATGTGATCCATCCTGGTATTTCTACTGATCATGTGATCAGTGATGATACTGATTCCTGAAAACTTTTGAATTTTGTTTTTTTTTTTACTTTAGAAATTAGTATTTTTAGTTAGAAGTCATGTTCAAATGGAAGTATCTTTCTCATACATTTTTTAAAGAGACTTTTCTTCCTGTATTTCCGCTTTAATAAATAAATATTTTCTTTTCCCCCCAAATAATAACTTTTGTAGAATAAGAACCTTTTGAATTACAGAATTGTATATTTTTTAATTGTAAATCATTTACCCAGGAAAACAGATATAGTCAATTAGAAGAAAAGTTACGTGTGACACAGTTATTGAAAGATGAGGTGCAGTCACGATGTAACCAACAGAATTCCACTGTTAGTGATCTAACATCTAGGAATAGTACACTAACATTGGAAACAGAAACAATGAAGAAAAGAGTGGAAGAGATGCAGCAGGTTAATATAACTTATATATGATAAGATTGAGCAAAATACCTTGCCAAAAAAAGCCAGTCAGAAAAAGGGTTGTATTGTTTTACATCCCCCCCCCCTTTTTTATTGATATTTATAATATATAATATAAATTTATTCGTTCAGTGTATGTTTACTTGTTTTTGTTCATATGTCTCTTTGATTGAATTAAGCCATTTCAATTGATATTTTATAGTGTGTCTTTCTATGTTGTAATGTTACACTACTATTTCAGGTTAGGGTGACGGTTGGTGCCTGTTAAAATGTTTAAACCCGCTGCATTTGTTTGCACCTGTCCTAAGTCAGGAACCTGTTGTTCAGTGGTTGTCGTTTGTTGATGTGGTTCATAAGTGTTTCTCGTTTCTCGTTTTTTATATAGATTAGACTGTTGGTTTTCCTGTTTGAATTGTTTTACACTAGTCATTTTGGGGCCCTTTATAGCTTGCTGTTCGGTGTGAGCCAAGGCTCCTTGATGAAGGCCGTACTTTGACCTATATTGTTTACTTTTTACACATTGTGACTTGGATGGAGAGTTGTCTCATTGGCACTCATACCACATCTTCTTATTTCTATTGTATTAGCATTTTATAATTAAATACCATACAAAGGGAAATTTTCATGTATGTCCTATTTTTTGCGATAGACATTTGACCGCAAAATTTCGCCTATGCAAATGTTTCATTGTCAATTGAACTGCATTGTACAAGGCTATAAATAGATATATAAGAAGATGTGGTATGAGTGCCAATGAGACAACTCTCCATCCATTTGACATCAGGCTTTGTTTTAGTTTTATAAAATTAAAAGCAAAAACCCAAATGTGTAAAGTTGTTTTATCAATACTGGCTAGTTCATTACCAAGGGGGAGGGGGGGCTTTTTAATTTTATAAAACTAAAACAAAGCCTGATGTCAAAATAACCTGATATATGGGAGTTGAAAACAATAACCTGATATATGGGAGTTGAAAATAATAACCTGATATATGGGAGTTGAAAATAATAACCTGATACATGGGAGTTGAAAATAATAACCCGATATCTATGGGAGTTGAAGATGAAAGAACATCTAGAGTTTAGGTTGTTTGACAATTAATGTGGAATTTGTCAAAAATACATCTATTATTAAGTTAGAATTATGTTTACATGAAATGTAAAGAAATGAAGAATTTTTTTATTTTTTTTGTTTTATCTCGAAATATATCTAATTTTTATGCATTTCAGTATTTAAGTTATAACAAAAGATATATTTTTGACATCTGAAATCCAAAATATATAGCAACAGTGCAAAGCCCCAAAGGTGTAGTCATTTTATCAATACTGGCTAGATAAAGTTCATTACCAGGGGGGGGGCTTCATAAACATGTGATTTATTTTTATAAATGTTCAGAAAAATTATCTTTTATTAAAATATTTGTCTTGTTTTGCATGAAAAGATCCAAACAAATTTTGGTAGTTAAAATATTTGATTATTACATTGATATGATAATTTTGTTTTTAGGAACTAGCTGAAAAGAATGCAGTAACTTTTGCTGAAGTTGGAAAGGTTAAACTTGATTTGAATCAAGCATTAAACAAACTTGAAGCAGAGAGAAAAGTGCAAACAGAATTAAGGGATCAACTTTCTGATTCAGATAGGAAAACATCTGGTAATTCATTATTAGTAGTATGGATAAACGTAGACATAGGCTATACATTAATATGACAGCCATCCAATAAAAAAACCAGCAATGACTTTTTAAAAAAAGATTGCATAAATAGATGTGATTTTTCTCTGTAGCGGAGGGGGCATTAAGTTTTACCCTTGTCTGTTTGTCCGTCCCAAAATTGGTTTCCGTTCTTTAACTTTAGTTTGCCTCAACCAAATGTTATGAAACTTATACACAATGCTTATTACCACAAAACACAGATCAAGTTTGAATTTGGGTAGCGTCACTTTTACCATTCTAGAGTTATGCCTCTTTACAAATGGAAAAATTGCTGAATTTATCGTTTCTGTTCTCTTACTTTAGTTTGCCTGAAACAAATGTTATGAAACTTATATGCAATGCTTATTACCACAAAACATAGATCAAGTTTGAATTTTTGTTGCCTCACTTTTACTGTTCTAGAGTTATGCCCCTTTACAAATGGAAAAATTGCTGAATTTTTCATTTTTGTTCCCTCACTTAAGTTTGCCTGAAGCAAATGTTATGAAACTTATACACAATGATTATTACCACAAAACACAGATTAAGTTTGAATTTGGGTAGCGTCACTTTTACCATTCTAGAGTTATGCCTCTTTACAAATGGAAAAATTGCTGAATTTATCGTTTCTGTTCTCCTACTTTAGTTTGCCTGAAACAAATGTTATGAAACTTATATGCAATGCTTATTACCACAAAACATAGATCAAGTTTGAATTTTTGTTGCCTCACTTTTACTGTTCTAGAGTTATGCCCCTTTACAAATGGAAAAATTGCTGAATTTTTCGTTTTTGTTCCCTCACTTAAGTTTGCCTGAAGCAAATGTTATGAAACTTATACACAATGATTATTACCACAAAACACAGATTAAGTACAAATTTGGGTAGTGTCACTTTTACCTTTTTTGAGTTATGTCCCTTTATAATCATATATTCAAGGGGGGGCATCATCTGTGTCCCAAGGACACATTCCCCATTTATTTGCAGTTAACATTTGGATACAGTCTGGATTGAAATAATTTTAAACATCTATAACTTTGTCAGTTTGTCATAGAAATTTTGGAATGGTATGGTTTATCAAGATGAAAATGGATCTGTTATAATTTAGAGATAGAAACTAGTTGCCCCAAAATTGAGTCTGCAATTTCCATGTTGTCTCTATAGACGGCACTATGGTGTCTCACAGCCAGACCTAATAAAGCCCTACAGAGAAATATTGTACTAGAAATGTACTTATGTACTTTATTGTTTGTCAGAGTAATCAGTCTGATATGGGAAATTCAAAATATGAGGTCCATATTAGTCCCATTAACTTTGCAAAATGAAAATATAACATCATGAACAAATTAGATAATTAATTCAAAACTGTGCCATAGAAATGATTTTCTGTATGGAAATTTATCCCAAAAAGAGTGTAAGGTCATTTTAAAATTTTTAAATTTATTGATCTACAGTACTCTTATTTACTGTAAATTCAGAAATTATTGCGTGCATTTATTATTGCGATTTTGTCATTTTAGACTAAAATGCGATTTTAATTTTTGCTATATTGAGAAAAATCCTGTTTAATTCATATAAAGAATTTCAAAATGTGAGTTTTAATTATTGCGATTATAACCCTGTTGCATTTTTCGCAATAATAAAAACATCGCAATAATTTCTGAATTTACAGTATATGTTCTTGTCATTATTGCAGAACAAATTTTAAGATATAGAGAAGCATGTGAGGAGAAAGATGCAGAATTAGACAGTTTAAGAAGACGTCTCAAGTCTCGTGAATTAGAAGTATCCCATGTCCGAGAAGAAGAATCTCAAAGAGCTAAGATGCTACAAATGGCTGTATTGAACTATTGTCAGAACATACCACAGTCAACAATGGAATCATCATGATCAAAATGAAAAACATTTTAAGAAAACAATGTTGAAATTTTTTGAAAATAGTTTACTTCCTACACTGGGATATGTAGAAAGAAGTGAGATGAAAAGAAGTTGTTGTATGATTTTAATTATTGTATAGTAACAATATTTTTCATACAGAACGTAGTCAAAAGTTAGCTTGCAGTAACATATAGTATTGCACTATCATAAATTAAGCATAAAATTAGTGATATCATCAGTGACAAAAATATGTTTTAAAGAAATTTTCAAGCTTTGCTTTACAATAAAAGGGTTATTCCATGAATATTGGTAAACAGTATTGCTTGTAGAATATAAATTGCACTTCCCAAGCTGATGCAATTTTAAAATCTACTTTGGAAAATGTTCATGCAATACCCCTAAAGGGATCCGATATAATACAGTTCTAGCTCAATATTATCCTATTTTATTTTATCTAATAAGTTTTTGATGAATATTTATTTGTTATTTAGAATTCATCTACCTTGATTTATAGAGAAAAAGGAATACAGAAATATGTACTCAGAGTTGTGGTCAATTAGCTATATAGAATTATGGTTTCTTACAACGATTAATGTCATAAAAGTTACAAATAATAGCTATAAATGGTATTTACTTAAAGATTTGAGGATTTATAGTTACATGTCATTGTAATATTTTTATTTTGTCTCTGCTTTTTTTCTAAATGTAGAAAGACATTTTTAAAATGATGGCAGATATTTTGGATCTATTTTCTGGAATTACAAATGGTATACCTCTATCATAAGTAAGCATACATGTATGCTTTCATGAAAAATCCAAAATTTTATATTACCTTTGTTTAAATATAGCTGTATTTTCTAGCGAATCAAACAAAATGATGACCACTATTTGTTTTTTGTTTTCTTAGAGAATCAAATGATAAAATAGAAATCTTCTTTCAAAATAAACTAAGTAGTACTTAATTTGTAGTTGTATTTCTGATAACATACACAAATTTTCACTATTTTTCTCTCGCCTGCGACAAAAGCCGCAGAAAGCGAGACATAAGGATTGCTTTTCCAGTGACGGGTGTGGTGGCGTCAACAATTGTTAAGTTTTCTGCCTAAGTTATATATAAGTTTGATAGGAACTACTTGTGATAGATCATTGATATTTATTACAACGTTGCATTACTATCAGTACATATCAATTTGACGACTATTTCGAGACCCTGCCCCGTAGGTCATAGTCCAGCATCTTTGAATTAACTAGAAATTTTCAATGTTAAGTTTTCTGCTTAAGTTAGTTTGATAAAAACTACTTGTGATAGATCAATGATATTTAATATGAAGTTGCATTACTATCAGAACATATCAGTTTGATGCCTATTTTGAGGACCTGCCCCCTAAGTCAAGGTCCAGTGACTTTGAATTAATTACCAATTTTCAATGTTAAGTGTTCTGCTTAATTGAGTTTGATAGGATCTTCTGGTGATAAATCAATGATATTTTGTATGAAGTCGCATTACTATCAGTACATATCAGTTTGACAACTATTTTTAGACCCTGCCCCCTAGGTCATGGTCCAGATACTTTGAATATTAAGCAATTTTCAATATTATGTTTTCTGCTTAAGTTAGTTTGAATGGATCTTCTTGTAATAGATCAAGGATATTTTGTATGAAGTTGCATTACTATCAGTACTTATCTGTTTGACGACTATTTTGAGGCCCTACCCCCTAGATCATGGTCCAGTGACTTTGAATTAATTAGCAATTTTCAATGTTAAGTTTTCTGCTTAAGTCAGTTTGATAAGAACTACTTGTGACAGATCAATGATATTTTGTGTAAAGTTGCATTACTATCAGTACAACTCAGTATGTCGACCATTTCTAGGCCTTGCCGACAAGATCACAGTCCAGCGACTTTTAATTAATAAGCAATGTTGTTATCCATCAGATTGTCTTTTTTCTGAATTTTATGTGGACAGGCGAGACATATCTCTGTGTCAACAGTTTACTTTTCTTTATATGAATTACAAAAAAAAATATTTTTCTTTCTTTCTGAAAGACATGGGTAATCCCTGAATTTAAAAAAAAGGTAAACATCAATTAAGTTTAATTTAAAGGCAAGTTTAAGCAAAATCTATTGGTTGTGCCATTTTCAATATTTTTCAATGTCATTCCAAAGCTCATGGACAGCTGTGCCATCTTTTTATTTACATTATTTACTAATTTCACTTTAGATTAACCTTAACTTATCCAGGATGAAATAATGTGTACCATCTGTTAATAGCTGTGTTTTTGTCGAGCCTGCGACTTTTGTCGCAGAAAGCTCGACATAGGGATAGTGATCCGGCGGCGGCGGCGGCGGCGTTAGCTAACTTCTTAAAAGCTTTATATTTTAGAAGGTGGAAGGTCTGGATGCTTCATACTTTGTATATGGATGCCTCATGTTACGAAGTTTCCGTCAGTCACATGTCCAATGTCCTTGACCTCATTTTCATGGTTCAGTGACTACTTGAAAAAAAAGTTCAGATTTTTTGTAATGTTAGATTCTCTCTTATTATAAGTAATAGGATAACTATATTTGGTATGTGCGTACCTTGCAAGGTCCTCATGCCCGTCAGACAGTTTTCACTTGACCTCAACCTCATTTCATGGATCAGTGAACAAGGTTAAGTTTTGGTGGTCAAGTCCATATCTCAGATACTATAAGCAATAGGTCTTGTATATTCGGTGTATGGAAGGATTATAAGGTGTACATGTCCAACTGGCAGGTGTCATCTGACCTTGACCTCATTTTCATGGTTCAGTGGTTATAGTTAAGGTTTTGTGTTTTGGTCTGTTTTTCTTATACTGTATGCCATAGGTCTACTTTATTTGGTGTATGGAATGATTGTAAGGTGTACATGTCTAGTGGGCAGGTGTCATCTGACCTTGACCTCATTTTCATGGTTCAGTGGTCAAAGTTAAGTTTTTTGAGTTTTGGTCTTTTTTTCTAATACTATATGCAATAGTTCAACTATATTTGGTGTATGGAAATATTTTATGATCTATTTGGCAGTCACACAGGTTTTATTTGACCTTGACCTCATTTTCAAGGTTCATTGCTCAGTGTTAAGTTTTTGTGTTTTGGTCTGTTTTTCTTAAACTATAAGCAATAGGTCAACTATATTTGTTGTATGGAAGAATTGTTAGCTGTACATGCCTGCCTAGCATGGTTCATCTGACCTTGACCTCATTTTCATGGTTCATTGGTCAATGTTTAGTTTACTTGGTTAATGTTAAGTTTATGTGACAGTTGTAATAAAGCTTTATATTTAGGACTATCAACATAATATCAATGATTAGTAAAGAAGGCGAGACATTTCAGCGTGTGCACTCTTGTATAACCAATACTTAGTATTGAAAACGAATAAGATTCTTTAGTGAGGTCATGAAATCAACACACGATTCTCATTGTTTTTACCGGTAGTTATATTTTATGTGATATTGAATATCAGATCTGATAATATGGTTGTGATATTTTACATGTATGACATTATTAGCTTCAAAATACTTGATTTTTTTAAACAATTTATTTTGAAATGAAATGATGATATTTAGTATATTTAATTTGATCTTGTCAGTTTAGTTTTAATTTATTGTTAGATTGTTTTTTACATATTTATATTTTTCATACAATAAAGTATAATTCAATTGTAGAAGTTATTGATTGTAGAAGAGACTGATTTGTGTGGCTGATTTTTCTGCGTGGTTGGTCAATATTTAATGTCAGTTTAAATGTAGAGCTTATTAGTTCCCTACCAACGAAGTGGAAGGCGACTTTAGGTTTGCACTCCGTCTGTCTGTCTGTCTGTCTGTCCATCCATCAAATCAGTTTTCCACACTTTTTTTCTTCGTACTTGAAGATATTGATTTGATATTTGGTATATTGTTTTATCATGACAAGTTACAGATCAAGTTCGAATTTTGTTCCTGTCTGATGATTTTTTGCAGAGTTATGGTCCTTGGAATTAGAAAATTCACTCAAATAATAATATTTTCTCGCGGTTCGAAGTAAAGCGGGAAAATATTGTATTGACGTTATGGGTAATATGCGTATGGTCCAATCAGAGGGGTTGATTTAGATCCGGGTATGTAGGTATGTTTGATTTGTTTGTCACTTTCTAGCCGCCGTTCGTACGTGCATGACTTAAAATGGACGCCGATATCAGAGAAATAATCCAAGCCGAAGTACAAAGTGCCATACTAGGAACTCAAGATAAACTATTGAACAGCTTTACTTCTCTGCTTGACACACGATTAAATGGTTTCCAGCAAAACATCCAGGATAGCCAGAAGGCATTGTCCGAGTCACAGTTGGCCAAAATCGACGAGACCATGACAGAGACCTTTAAGTTCCGTAAAAGGGGCAATGAAGAACAGTATAAACACAACAAGAAGGTTTTTGTGAAGGTTCTCGAAGCTAACAGCCAGTTAGAATCAGAAAATTTGAACAACGACAACATCCAAACCGCAAAAAGAAAGATTTACGAAGGTATGGAAATGATAAAGTCAAGGCAAAAGCTCATAAAGTTAGCAGATTCTTCAGACGCAGGATGGCGTGTTGTCGACGAATATACTACAAATCCTTTGGCAGAAGATTCCGAAGATGAAAAAAGAATATACAAGGCACAAAGTAGAGCCGATTCCAAGATAAAGAAAGAGAAGGCTAAACGCAAGACCGATCCAAGGCCAACACCTTATAAGACTAAACAACTGGCTCCAGAGAATCCGATTCCAGTTAATACAAACAAGATGTTTCGCCCTGGAAGATGCTTCAATTGTAGTGAAACTGGTCATTGGAGGAGAGAGTGTCCACATGCTACGGTGCAGCATACAAACAAGATAAGTACTAATATGTTTTTATGTAACGTAAGTAGTAGTCCGAGTACACCTTTGTATTCAAAACAAACGTTACGCAACACAACATTCCTTAGCAATACACATACTACGATTAATAGTAATCGTGTTCACTCAGGTATATCACCTGTAGGTAGCTTATTAGAAAATGTCAATAACTGGACAAAGATAGGTGCTAACGAACACGTTATTAATGTTATACAAAACGGGTATGTGATTCCGTTTTTAACAATTCCAGAGAGTGTAGTATTAGAAAATAATAAGTCGGCGTGCAACAATAAGATTTTTGTTGCGGAAGAAATCGAAAAGTTGTTGAAAAAAGGGTGCATAAGCAGAGTAAAAGAACAACCTCATGTTATAAACCCTCTAACTAGCTAACAATGGGTCAAAACTAAGATTGGTATTAGACGCCAGACATATAAATCCACATTTATTTAAATTTCGTCACAAATACGAAGACGCGGTCACAGCTAGACAAATGTTTAACAAAGGAGATTACATTTTTTCATACGATTTGAAAAGTGCATATCATCATATTAGAATTTCACATTTCGACACTACATACCTTGGTTTCAAATGGGGGGATGAATTTTACGTTTACAACGTGTTACCATTTGGCTTGGCAACAAGTGGTTATATTTTCAGTAAAGTAGTTCGGGAAGTCGTAAAACACTGGAGAAGTAAAGGGTTAAAAAATAGTTATGTATTTAGACGATGGATTAGGGGGAGGTTCTTCTTATTCGGAGGCATTAACCGCTAGTGATGCGATTAGAATGATTTAAATCATTTTGGTTTCGAAATAGCACATGAAAAGTGTAATTGGTCTCCAGTACAAAAACTGGAGTGGTTAGGTTTTTGTTGGTGTTTGGAAGAGGGTGTACTGAAAGTCACCGATAAAAGATTGAACAAGTTAAAAAGCGCTTTGAGTGATCTGTTACAGCAATATGAAAAGGGAATGAAATATTTCAAAGTAAGGTCACTTGCTTGTGTTGTTGGACAGATCATCTCAACTCAGGCTGTTTCAGGGGATCTTGCACGTTTAAGATCTAGATTTATGTATGATTGCATACTTACAAGAGAATGCTGGAATTCCAGCGTGATGTTTAGTCTCGAAGCTGTAAATGAATGCAGGTTTTGGTTAGATAATATAGAAAAAATAAATGAGATAGGATCTCAGTTATGTCAGTTGACATACAATGAAGTTCAAGACTATCACGTCTTTTGTGACGCTTCAGAAACAGGTTTCGGGGGTCATTTGACCACAGGTTCAGAGGACGAACCGATAGAGATATACGGAAGTTGGTCTTCCACTGAAAAAGTAAAAAGCTCTACATGGAGAGAACTTGAATCAGTAAAAAGGGTTTTAAGAAATCTTGTGATCAAATTGCATGGTATGACAATTAGAGTTTACACAGACAATAAAAATGTACCACACATTATGAAAGTCGGTAGTAAGAAAAAAGAATTACACAGAAGCGTTATGTCTGTTCATGAAATTTGTCAAGAGAACAAGATCAAACTAAATTTAGTATGGATACCACGCGAGCATAACGATAAAGCAGACAGTCTAAGTAGAAAATCAGATTGTGATGATTGGGAAATCGACGATTGGATTTTTACGTATCTGAATAAGTTATGGGGTCCATATACTTTTGATCGCTTTGCACAGGATTACAATGCAAAATGCAACAAATTCAATTCGAAATTCTGGTGCACAGGTACATCAGGCATTAATGCTTTTTCTGTGTCATGGGATGGCGAGAATAATTGGTTAGTTCCACCACCTCGTTTGGTCCCACAGACCATTAACAAAATAATACTGGATAAAGGTAGTCATACTTTGATTGTTCCTGAGTGGACATCTGCCGCTTATTTGCCAATGTTAGTTGACCAAGTAGGTCATTTTAAATCTTTCATAAGAGATTACAGGTTTTTTCAAGGTGAGAGCCTCACTAAACGAGGAAGGGGTCAAAACGGTATATTTGGCTCGCAGTTCTTAAAATTCAGATTAGTTGCTCTAAATATTAAATGAAAAACATAGATACTTATAATTTTCATTTTCTTAACAGGCATCAGTTTAGGGTAACAAGACATTTCGGCACCCAGACAAATCGGCACCCAAGTCCGAAGACATTTCGGCATCCATTTTGGACAGTTCGGGATCCGGACATTTCGGGACCAAGACAATTCGGCACCTCATTTTTTTTTAAATATATATATTAGGAAAAATAAAAGAATTGTTACCATAATATTATAATCCGTTGATAAAATATACAATAACAAAATTTGAAATCATCATTTAATTAAATCCTAAATGATTGTGTATGAATAGTAAAACATCATTTAATTAAATCATAATTGATTGTTAGATCCATGACGGTGTTTGAATAAACATCATTTAATTAAAATAAAATCATAATTAATTGTAGTTATGCATTAATCAGTATTTTATGTATAAATCTGATAATTTCTCAATAGAGACAAATGAGAAATCAAAAGTGTATAGCTTGTGTTTCAGCTTGTGTTCTCGTTTGATTCTTACATCTGTAAAGACAACACAATATCTGAAAACTATATTTTATTGTTTTAATATTAAAACCCATAAACATAAAAGCGCGTGCAAGCCATAATGAGTAAAAACCCAGAAACATATGTAACACTCCCAAACGTGTCCATCCCCCCAAACGTGTCCGATTCCCCCAAACGTGTCTATTCTCCCCAAACGTGTCCGTAATATTCAATATGGCCCAAACGTGTCCGATTTCAAAACCCCCAAACGTGTCCGATAATTTTTATTCGCCAAAACGTGTCCACTGTTAAACGCCATAACGTCTCACGTCTTTTAGCGCCAACACATGTATGTCCTAAATAAAATCAATAACGTTTACGGCAATTCTATTTAGAGATTTGACAATGATATTACTAAGTTTTTTTGGTTTTCTGAGATATGATGAAATTAGTTCGTTAAGATTTAAAGATGTCGTTATACATGACAATTATTTGATTTTGTATATTAACAAAAGTAAAACTGATCAGTATCGTCAAGGAAACGAAATTCTCATTTCGAAAGGTTTATCCATAGCTTGTCCATACGTTATGTTCATAAGATATTTAGAATTGGCCAATTTCGATTTTGACTCCAATAAATATTTATTTAGGCAGATTTGCAGATCGGGCAAAAATTGTAAACTTATAGATAAAGATAAAAAGCTAAGCTATACGGCGGCTAGGGAGGCTTTATTAGGTAGAGTTAGGTTAGTTTCACCAAATTGTAATATAGGCCTACATTCTTTCAGAGCCGGTGGTGCAACGGCTGCTGCAAATGCAAACGTAAACGAGAGGTGTTTGAAATAACACGGCCGGTGGAAGTCAGACTCTAGCAAAGATCGTTACATTGTTGACTCCACAGAGAAACGTTTACAGGTCTCGAAGGAATTGGGTTTATGATATTTGTTTAGCTCTTATTTATTCTGGCCCCCGTTCTTTGTGTAATTTCTATCAAATACGGCGGGCTGTCGGCAAATTGATATTTGCGTTTGTGTTGTTTTCTTTATAGGCATATGTAGTATAGATAATACTAATATTTTCTCGTGGTTCGAAGTAAAGCGGGAAAATATTGTATTGACGTTATGGGTAATATGCGTATGGTCCAATCAGAGGGGTTGATTTAGATCCGGGTATGTAGGTATGTTTGATTTGTTTGTCACTTTCTAGCCGCCGTTCGTACGTGCATGACTTAAACTTAAGTCATATATATATATATGTATATATGTATTCATTTCAAGAAGTTTTGTTTTTTGTCATCTCTCTCGTTATAGAAGGTGAGGTCCGACTACCTTTTTCCTGAGATAGGCTTGTGCATTGTCGTCGGATACAGGTTTCCACTTAACAAAATATGGTTTTTCCTGGACGGCCTCGACTATCCGTGAGGGAAATATTTTGGAAAGATTTAAGAGAGAATGTTCATTTATAATGTATAGAAGCATTGAATTACAACATGTTTGTTATTTGTTGTTTAATAGAAACAATATTGTATTTGTTATTATAAAATTACATCCGGCGTCCATCAAATACGGCGGGCCGGAGTGTCGGCAAATTGATATTTGCGTTTGTGTTGTTTTCTTTATAGGCATATGTAGTATAGATAATACTCAGTTTTCCACACTTTTTTTCGTCATCCTTGAAGATATTGACTTGATATTTCTTATATAGTTTACACCATGACAAGTTATAGATCAAGTTAGCATCTTGTTCCAGTACAATGAATTTTTAACCGGTAGGGGACAATGTATTGCCATGTAATACTCCCAGAATGCTTGTTTAAACTCCTTTTTTTTTGTCCCTTGTTAAGTTGGCTGGTGCTCTGGAGTTTACTTGTATGTGGCTAATCTATCACTTCATGAGATATGTGTCTTCTCTCTGTTGGGGGTTATGGTTGTTGAGTGGTCTAAGTCATTCATCTACTGTATTACTAGCCTGTCAACACTTAGGTGGTGAGTTCAAACCCTACACATAGCAGCTGGTGCGTTTGTTTCTAATCTGAATTGACTTGGATTGCCAGTTTTCTTGCCAGAGGTTGTGGTTCTCTCTGGGCACGGGGCCTCGGTGGCCGAGTGGTTTAAGTAGTTACTACTGTAATCACTAGCCAGTCAACACTGAGGTTGTGAGTTCGAACCTCGCTTGTGCGGGTACACTCAACTCCAATCTTAATTGACTAGAATTGTCAGTTTTCCTATCGAAGGTCGGTGGTTTTCTCCGGGTACTCCGGCTTCCTCCACCAATAAAAACTGGCCGCCACGAATTAGCCCAAAAGCGGTGCTTAAAAGTAGCGTTAAAACACCAAAAATCAAATCTCTCTGGGCACTCTGGCTTCTTCCACCAATTTAAACTAGCTGCCAAGATTTAGCCAGTTGTTCTAAAAGTGTTGTCAACACTCAATCAATCATCTATCAGAAAAAACGCTTCCATCAATAAACTTACTTGCATAATGTGTTACTTGTATAAAAGGAGATGTGGTAGGATTGCTGGTGAGTCCTAATGATGTGAATGTAAGCATATATAGGTCACCAAACATTACTTTAACAATGAGAAAAATCCATACTGTATAAAAGCTATACAATGCCCTGACATGACAAAATATGACACATTTCAAACAAGAAAACCAGTAGCCTGATTTATGGCAAATCAATAAATGAAAAACAAGTGACTGTGGTAGGGCTAAACATGTTTCTAAGCTCTCAACCCGAGACAGTGGTGTTAATACACAACACAAGAACAAACTGTAAATCAATTGCAAATGGATTAATTCAACAGATTGATATGAAGCACAAAAAAACAACCTAGTCACATAAAAATAAAAGACACTAATCTCAGTGAGGGTGTAGTTACTGAAAGCTTATTCAAGACCAATTACAACTATAAAATAAATGTTGTTCTCCTAGAATATTAAGTAGCGATCAGTATATGGTCTATAGATAGATTGGCATCTATTATTAAGTTTTTCTATGTACAAGGGTATGGATGGACAGATTTTAATTTCTGTATTATAATTTTTTTCATTTTTTCTTATTTAATTATTCTGTGTAAAGCCCATTATTCTCTATTTTGTAAACCCCATCATGTACTATTTACCCAGTATATCATAATAGAGTGACATTTAACTGTCTGTGAGAGGTTTAGCTAGCTATAAAACCAGGTTTAATCCACAATTTTCTACATAAGAAAATGCCTGTACAAGTCAGAAATATGACAGTTATCCATTCATTGGATAGGTTTGAGCTTTGGATTTTGCCATTTGATTACATTTCCATTATGAATTTTTCTCTGAGGTCGGTATTTTTTTTTTTTTTTACTTTTTGCACAATTTAAACTAGGTGTGGCCATCACAACAGTTATTTCAACAAGAACGAAATTTGCATCAACAAATTTCATTGATCTTCATGGGTTAAACCATGAAAGAAGCATAATTATAAGAAATCAACAAAGATGTTATATTTTCACAAAATGTGGTGAATTAAAACAATTTAATTATTCTACTGTTTCCTTTATTGGTTAACTGAAATCTTAAAACGTTTAAGCTCTTTTCCAATATACATTTAAAATCAGGATATCCAACAGAATATCTTGCAATCATAATTTTAGTCCAAATTTAAGGATGTTCACTCCTCTTGTTTTTGAATTTTTGTCAGATATTCGGAATCCTCTGGTTTTATCCATGTAGTGCCATTAAAAATTTTGCCCACTAAGCCCTACTTTTCTTTTCATAATTTTATAACATATAGTTTAAAAAGCCATATTTGAAAATCTTGTAAAATCCTTGTTATTTTTTCATAGTTTTTGATAGAATAAACTGTTAACACAGAGATATGTCTCACCTTTTTGTAATTTTGATAATGCAAATGTTGAAATTAAAAGAGCAATACTTTAACATGTAAGTTATGCAAATATTCAAAGTCAATGAACCATGACTGAAGGTACATGGCTAAACAATCTCCATGGAAATGAGATGTGCAAATGCTAATACAACTGCATACCAAATACCATTGACTTATCATAAGTCATTTCCTTTAAACAAACCTAAAGACAAACATTAACTTGTAAACTATGTAAAAGTTTCAAGGTCAATGAACCATGATGAGGAGGTGGGGCTATATAATATCTATGGTAACTAGACTTGCAAATGCCAATAAATTTGCATACCAAATATCATTGACTTAACATTAGCGGTTCATCTTAAACTGATCTAATCACAAACTAAAACATGTAAACTAAGTTTCAAAGTAAATTGACCATGACCGAGGGGGCGGGGCCAAATGTTTTCCATGGAAATGAGATGTGCCAAACTGCCAATGCTTATACAACTGCATACCCAATTAACATTGGCCTACCACTAATGGTTCCCCTTGAACTGACCTAATCACAAACTAAAACAAGTAAACTAAGCAAAAGTTTCAAAGTCAATTGACCATGACTGAGGGGGCGGGGCCAAATATTTTCCATGGAAATGAGATGTGCCAATGCTTATACAACTGCATACCAATTAACATTGGCCTACCACTAATGGTTCCCCTTGAACTGACCTAATCACAAACTAATACATGTAAACTAAGCAAAAGTTTCAAAGTCAATAGACCATGACTGAGGGGGCAGGGTCAAATAATCTCCATGGAAATGAGATGTGCCAATGCTTATACCAAATATCATTGACCTACCACTAGTGGTTCACCATACACTTGACCTAATCACAAACTAATACAATGTTGACGCCGCCACTGCCGGAAACAGCATACCTATGTCTCGCTTTTTGACTTCATCAAGGCGAGACAAAAACAGTGCCAATGTTAATAGTATAAAAAATCTAGAGAGAATCATTTCCCGCTAAATTTTCAACGGCATTTATATCTCAAAAACAAGCACACGGACCCTTCATTTTTTTCTGCTTTTTTAGTTCCGTTATTTATATACTATCAATTTATAATAGTCTTTTAAAAAACTTGTTATTTTGAAACAGAGTAGGGAACATCCTTAACATAATGTACATATGCTCTCAATCCAGCAGCCTGGGCTAATGAATAAAACCTGAGACTTAACTATAACACACAGTAGTCTCAGTTAAAACATAACAAATTCTTTACCTGAAAAAACCCAAAAATAATATCTGGTGTTATAGAAATAAATATAATGAATAAATAATTAAAAAAAATAAATGTGTAAATGGGATTTCTTTAATAAGTATGATATTCAAAGAGCATGTTCTGTTGCACAAACAAACGAAATTTCGAATACCTGTATTAAGTCTCCTCATCTTGAACACTGCTGATTTTAGAAAACCTGAAAAAAGGATTTACAATGATAAACAGATATTTGAGCTTGGAGTGTAAACTCATAAACAATGAATTGTTCTTAAAAGAGTACCTAACTTTTACAAATTATACATAAGAGCTCTCAAATCTGGATCCTGATTAGAAAATAAAGCAGTATCACGTAAACAACCTGAACTATATAGGCTTCTACAGCCTGCTGATTTACAAATATCAGACATGAATAAGTTAAACGTTCTTTTTGATACAGTTTTTGCATAATACCATATATCTACTTTGTGTTCTATAGTAGATGTTAAAACTTCTCTGCTCAGACAATTAAACAAAAAATCTGCTTTTGGGTCAGTTTTTCTAATAAGTAAGCGAAGTCCTGCAATAGGACAGAAAGCCTTCCAAGGTGATGCACACATGCGCTCCTTTTCTAAATCCTGACAGTTGAAAAGATTTATAGTCTCACGGTTAATGACAACATACTCTGTACCGTCAGCATCTGTGTTAAAGTCAAATGAATCTATTTTCAATTGCTTCTGGTTCTCTTTAGTCAACGAAAGAAAGTTTATTGTAATACAGAACCATACACTTTGTCTTAATGAGAGAGCATTACAATTTGACCGATATACATATCTACACAATAATTTCAGTTCCTCTTTGTCAATATTTTCCCTGTATCTGCACTTGGATAACAAACCCTTCTTTTCGAGAATTTTTATCTTTGCATCTAATAAAGCATTACTCTCCTTGAATGCAGAATCTCTTACTATGTCAAAGTCTCTTTTAATATTTTTAAAATAGCGATTTAATGCAGCTCGAGCATTCTTCATTGTATGTTTTTTATAAATGGTGGGATTCACATGTCTATAACTTATATTTTCATTTGCTTTTGTCATAGGTTTGGTCTCAGCATAAAAATACTTCAACTTTTCATTTAAATCCTCTGCAGATATATTTTCTAAATCCGTATCTTCTCCCGAAGTTTCTTTGCTCCATTCTAAAATGGAAAAAAAAAGAATATTCATACTGATTCATAGTTTTCATAAATAACGAAGGATGTGAATAACGTTAAACTGTTTATATTGCATCCATTTGCTGTCTTGTTTTCTGTGTCAATAATATTTCTTCCTTAAAGTCATATGAAACAAGTTTCTTGAAATTTTAATGTTATCCAGATTATTGAACCATCAGGAACATATATATTGTTAGATATACTGTTCCCAGAACCAATGCATGCATATATACTTAACTTAGTCTTGCATGCACTTTTTTATATTTATTACACATCTATAACGTATTATCAACAAATATTATTTCATTCAGTTGTTGTTGATCACAAGCTACCTAATCAACTTTCGAGTTTGTTGCCGAAGTTTACCAGATCGTGACCTAAAAAGTTGGTACCATAACCCCCAAAATCATTCTAAAAATGAAAAAAGTCCCCCTCCTCCAAAACCCCCCAATTTTTTTTTTAAATTTTGAAGATTATATTCTTTTCAGGAAAAATGTACAATTTCTGATCATTTTTGGGGGTTCATTTTGTTTTTCTTCAAAAATTTGAAATTTCAAAAATTTTGAAGAAAAAAAATATGAGCCCCCAAATTTTTTTTTTTAAATCCCCCCCTTCCCCTCCCCAAACTTTTTTCCCCTAATTCCTGAACATTTGGGGCAATTAGCTACAAACTCAATCCAAGCCTTCCCTTAGTGATATGGAACTTTGTGGTACAACTTCAGAGAGATCCATACACTAACCCAAATGTTATTGTCTGGAAACTACAAAAATGCTTGTTTTTGGCCCCTAATTCCTAAACTGATGGTACCATAACCCCCAAAATCATTCCAAACCTTCTTTTTGTGGTATTGAACCTTTTGGTAAAATTTCAAAGAGATCCATTCACTTAAACTAAAGTTGTTTTTCAGAAACCAAATGTGTCTTAGGACGACAACGACATGATGGCATTAAACATTATACGAACACAAATTTTTTTGTGGTCGTATAAAAACAAATATGATATACAGGAACAAAAGAGAACCACTGAATTACAATCTCCCGACTTGGGACAGGCACATAGAATGTGGCTGGGTTAAACATGATTAGTATATTATATTACACATAAAAGACTTAGTATAGGTCATTGAAGCAAGAAATCTAAATCATACTTATATTTGTAGAGATATTACCAATTGATTGTCTCAAATGTTAAAAAAAGCCAGTGTCAGTGCAGCAATGACATGTAGGTTACAGTGACCTCATGACAAGATGGTGAAATATTCCTGATTATGTATATTTAAACAGTTTAGATGAATTTTTTACTTAAAGTAACTTAGTAAGTTATAGTTACCAAATTAAAAAGTGTTGGGTATGTGTAGATACACCATAGGAGGGACTAAATTCCACGAGAAAGAATTGCTTTCGAGTGAAATTAAGTCCATCCTATGGTGTATCTACACATAGCCAATCACTTTTTTATTTTGGTAAATGACATGTGTCAAAGTTCACAACTGATATCACGTGATGAAAAGTGCTTTTCCCGCTGCATTATCAATCTGCGGGTTTCAGTCGTCTGAAATGGCTGCAAAAATGGAGGTCAGTGACATTGACTTTTTAAACTTTTTCTACAACAGTAAACTGTTCGGGCTCAGAGGTGTGGACCAGTTCGAACTTGGAAATGATCAGACGGGAAGCTATATTTTATTCAAGGGCAGAGCCAACAAAACGTACTATGGTAAGTTTCATTTTTCTTACAATTTTGTAGTATTTGTGCTTTTATTGTGTATTTCAATTGGTTCTTTTGTGTATTTGGGTCATTGACACTTGACTGACGATTTTCAGAAAATCCAGGTGTCTTCGTCTTCTTTTATGGAAAACAATAAGGTAAACACGGGTATATTGTGTCATGTGTATGCTTATTACATTTTACCCAATCCAGGCCAAATAAAATTGCTTTATATTTCAATAATCAGTTTTGTTCAATGTATGATTTTTATGTCACTGAATGTCAATACTTCATTTTTTTTCAGGTGGACTCAGATCAGTGGAACCTAAGTGCCCAAGTCTTAAAACACTACCTTCAAAACCCTGTACTTTTCAAGAATTATCACGGAACAGTATTTGAATATTGTACGTGATCTGAATGGGACAGCCTTTTACAGGAGACCTCTAGATTAAGGACGTACATGTAATGTTTGGTAAACAGTCAGTAGGCGTTAACAAAGTATCTAATATTATGAAAACGGAAAATCGTGAACCATCAAATAGTGCTGGAGGAGGCTTTGGAAGTTTGTTGACTGGATGCATGTTCAATTCTAATAATGGAGGTTAATTACAATGTATATGTGTGATTAATTCAGTATTTGTGGATTATGTTGAATGGTTTTGGTGTCTTTCATTCAAAGGAATGTTTTTATAATGGAATTATGTGCACCTTTTTTTTTGTAGTGAATTTGTTTGTATTATGGAATTATGTGCATCTTTTTTGGTAGGATCAAAGGATTTATATATGTGGAGTTCAGTCTCACATTTTTTAAAAATTAATACAGTTATTAAAATTCATTGTTATACATGTACCATAGTTTGTTTGATATTCCATTGACAAAGTGTGAGGGTATCTACACATACACCACAGTTCCATGTCAGCCCTCTGATTGGTTTACCAGATGCTTGAAAATGGTCTTGTGGTGTATGTTAGATACCTCACACTTTTAGCCAGAAACTACAATGTAACACATTTTCTTTCCTGAAATATTTTTTCAACCCAAAAACTAAAGTGTTGGGTAGTTGTCTCATTGGTGAATACCCCGTATCCTTTCTTTTTCATATAATAAGTATAACAATGAATTTTAATAACTGTATTATTTTTTAAAAAAAATGTGAGACTGAACGCCACATATATAAATCCTCTAATCCTACCAAAAAAGATGCACATAATTCCATAATGCAAACAAATTCACTACAAAGAAAAAAGGTGCACATTATTCCATTATACAAACATTCCTTTGAATGAAAGACACCAAACCATTCAATATAATCCACAAATACTGAATTGATCACACATATACATTTTAATTAACTTCCATTATTAGAATTGAACATGCATCCAGTCAATAAACTTCCAAAGCCTCCTCCAGCACTATTTGATGGTTCACGATTTTCCGTTTTCATGATATTAGATAATATGTTAACGCCTACTGACTGTTCACCAAACTTTACATGTACGTCCTTAATCAATAGGTCTCCGGTAACAGGTTGTGCCATTCAGATCAAGTACAATATTCAAATACTGTTCATAAATCTTGAAAAGTACACGGTTTTGAAGGTAGTGTTTTAAGATTTTGGCACTTAAGTTCCACTGATTAGAGTCCACCTGAAAAAATGAAGTCTTGACATTCAGTGACATAAAAATCATACATTGAACAAAACTGATTATTGAAATATAAAACAATTTTATATGGCCAGGATTGGGTAAAATGTCATAAGCATACACACGACACAATATACCCGTGTTTACCTTATTGTTTTCCATAAAAAAAGCACCTGTTGTAGCGCGGACCTCGAGGAAGACACCTGGATTTTCTGAAAACCGTCAGTCAAGTGTCAATGACCCAAATACACAAAAGAACGAATTGAAATACACAATAAAAGCACAAATATTACAAAATTGTAAGAAAAATGAAACTTACCATAGTACGTTTTGTTGGTTCTGCCCTTGAATAAAGTATAGCTTCCCGTCTGATCATTTCCAAGTTCGAACTGGTCCATGGACAGATTCCAATGCTTGTCCACACCTCTAAGCCCGAACAGTTTACTGTTGTAGAAAAAGTTTTAAAAGTCAATGTCACTGACCTCCATTTTTGCATCCATTTCAGACGACTGAAACCCGCAGATTGATAATGCAGCGGGAAAGGCACTTTTCATCACGTGATATCAGTTGTGAACTTTGACACATGTCATTTACCAAATAAAAAAGTGATTGGCTATGTGTAGATACACCATAGGATGGACTAAATTTCACTCGAAAGCAGAGCTTTCTCGTGGAATTTAGTCCCTCCTATGGTGTATCTACACATACCCAACACTTTTTAATTTGGTAACTATAACTTATTATATAAAAAAGAAAGGATACGGGGTATTCACCAATGAAACAACTACCCAACACTTTGGTTTTAGGGTTGAAAAATATTCCAGGAAAGAAAATGTGTTACATTGTAGTTTCTGGCTAAAAGTGTGAGGTATCTAACATACACCACAGGACCATTTTCAAGCATCTGGTAAACCAATCAGAGGGCTGACATGGAACTGTGGTGTATGTGTAGATACCCTCACACTTTTTCAATGGAAAATCAAACAAACTATGGTACATGTTACAAAGTTTGAAACTCAAACAAAGTCAATAAAGCATGAAATGTAGGTCACGGTGGATGTTGACTGCTGAACCCAATTTTTGACATTTTTACCTATAACTAGTATGTCTGTTAGTTTTGCTCACACAGTTGCCAATATAATGGAATTCAACATGACTGTCATACAAGTGAGAGGTGAAGCTAGCTATAAAACCAGATCTAATCCATCATTTTCTATATATATAAAGGAAATGCTTGTTTCAAGTCAGGAATATGACAGTTGTTTTCCATTGGTTTGAGCTTTTGATTTGCCATTAATATATATTTGATAATTAAGGGACTTTCCATTATGAATTTTCATTGGAGCTTGGTATGAGCCCCCAAATTTTTTTTTTAAATCCCCCCCTTCCCCTCCCCAAACTTTTTGAACCCCCAAATTTTTTTTTGAAATTTTGAAGATTATTTTCTTTTCAGGAAAATGTACAATTTCAGAGAGTTCCATAAAATTTAACACAAGTTATTGTCTGGAAACAAGAAAAATGCTTGTTTTTGGTCCCTTTTTCCCCCTAATTTCGAAACATTTGGGGCAATTACCCCCAAACTCAATCCCAGCCTTTCCTTTGTGGTATGGAACCTTGTAGTACAATTTCAAAGAGA